ACAGGACTCCTCAGGGCACTGCCATCCCATTAGAGTGCTTTTCTGACATTATCTAAGACAACATGGAGATTTTAGGTTTTAAGTCTTTTAGTGTGGAATAACTTTAGTCAGTGTCCTATATCAAGGTAGTAAATGCCCTTCGAATGGAAAATTTTTACTTGGAGTACTGGGGATTGAGCCCACGGCCTCATGCATACGGGGATTCCCCTATGCTAGGCAAGTCCTCTAGCAAGTGGAAATTTTTTAGGCCAAATTCCCAGTGCCCTGTTGTTGGAAGGTGCTCACAGGGTTTTGCTTCACATAGGGCACTCCAACAGAGTTTATATCCCTACTCTAGTCCTCCTCCTCCTCTTCTCTCTTTTGAGACAAGGTCTTGCTCTGTTGCCCATGCTGGCCTTAAAATCCTGCGTTTAAGTGATCTTCTCACCTGCCTCCCAAGTAGTTGGGACTATAGGTACAAGCCACTGCACCTGGCTTCTCCAGCTTCTATTTCACACTGTGTGGGCTTGGGTAACCTTTGTGGTTTCCATTTTAGCCATCTACCATACCTGGGTTCCGGCTGTACTCGGTGGATGACTATTCCATGTACCACAAAGCCAGCCTCCAAGGTTCCCATGTGAAACGGATCAGCTGCTTCATCTGGGCTGCTACCCTTGGCGTTTATAGAGTTTGGCAGTCCTCCATTTTGGGTTAAACACACTCCACAGTGGCTTTCATCCAGTCCTCTTGGTTATAACTGTGTGTGTGCTTGTGCGCGTGTGTGCGTGTGTGTGTGTGCGTGTGTATGTGTGTACGTGTCTGAATCATGAATAGCCATCTATGACTGCTTAATAGAGGGCTGTGGGTCCTCCTCCTCCCAAACGTGTTCTTCCCCTCTGCAGTATCTTAAACCAAAGACATACTGGGCACCAGTGGCTCATGCCTGTAATTCTAGCTACTCAGAAGGCAGGGATCAGAAGGATCATGGTTCAAAGCCAGCCTGGGCAAACAGTTGGAGAGACCCTACCTTGGAAAAAACCTCTCATAAAAAAGGGCTGGTAGAGTGACTCAAGTGGTAGAGCATCTGCCTAGCAAGTGTGAGGTCCTGAGTTCAAAACCTCAGTACCACCAAAACAAAACCAATCTCCCCCGCCACCCCGAAAATGAAGATACCACTCCTGAATTAGTCTTACAATCTGTTTCAGTAAAGGCTCCTTGGGGGAACTCATCCCAAACTACAAAATAAAGTAATTCCTTCACATTATTCCCTAGTTTTATAATTCCTTGGTTTTGCCTTTTCTACACAGACTACCTTTTCTTTTTTTGGGGGGTGGGTGTGGGCTGTGGTTTGAATTCAGGGCCTCATGTATGCAAAGCAGGTACTCTACCTTATGGGCCATACCTCCAGATCATTTTGCTTTGGTTAATTTGGAGATGTGGTCTCGGGGCTGTCCTTGAACCTCAATCCTCCTGATCTCAGCCTCCCAAGTAGCTAGGATTGTAGGCATGAGCCACCAGTGCCCAGCTTGACTACCTTCTTGAAGACCAAGGTCTTAGAGGTACTCTCTGTTGCCCTGGAATAATCTTCCCCTTTCACCCTTTTTCTTCCCAAATCACATGTTTCTGTGAACCAGACCAGTTATAGCAAATCCCACTTCTGACACAAAATTTGTGTTAGGGAAAAACAAAGTATCTTGTTTTTCTCTCACCACAATCAACACGGAAGTCTCCTGTGATCTCAAGTGTGAGGATTTCTCACTACCACCATGTAAACTAGTGACCCTGCAGCAGACACCAGTAGGGTTCCCTCTAATTTAATTCAGTTCAGACCCTGCACCCCAGACACTGGGGTTCAGACCCTGCAACCCCAGACACAGGTTAAAGGCTCTGTCCCAGTCCCCAAGACTGCCCCTCCCCCAGGCCTTCAGACCCAGTTGGAAGTGTGGGGACCTGGAAATTCTGACCAACCGGCTGGGGTTCCCATGGCCCCCTCTGCTGGTTGAATTACTATGCCAGAGCAGCACGTAGAACTCAGGGAAACACTTAGCATTTTTTTTTGGCACTGGGGTTTGAACTCAGGGCCTTACACTTGCTAGGTAGGCGCTCTACCACTTGAGCCACTCCCTGCCTTTTTTTTTTTTTTTGTGATGGGATTTTTCAGGATAGGGTCTCATGAACTATTTGCCTGGGCTGGTTTTGAGCTGCCATCCTCCTGATCTCTGCCTCTCAAGTTGCTAGGATTACAGACGTGAGCCCTGGGTGCCTGGCCAGATCAAAGAATTTCTTTATGTCCAGCCCTGAGACAGAAAGGCAGGGAGAGATTAAAGTTTTTAACCTGCCTTTGGGAGGGAGTTGTGAGCCAGGAATCACAGACAAAACCAAAATATATCATATCCGTTTTTTTCTCAACTCTGAAGCTACTTCCTATCTTTCTCTTTGCCTCATCCCTCATTCATAGAGGCCAACTTCTTTCTCCACTCCACTGAAACTGCTATTAAGTTGTCCAATCTCAATTCTAAACTTACTTATGGTTCTGCAGCGTTTGGGAATGCTGCCAGCTTCTCTTTGAATTTCTCATTTCCCTCGGTTGTCAAAGCAGTATTTCCTTGCTATTCAGACCAGTCCTTTTTATTACTGATCACCCTTCCTCCAATCACTGGGGTTCCTCCTCTTTGCAACTCTTCTCTCCTTCTAATTGCTGCCTATCTCTGATCTTATCCACATCCATGGTTTGGATCCATAATTTCAATTATCTTTTGTGTGTTAATAACTCCAAATATTTGGTTTTTTGAGTCAGGGTTTTACTATGCAGCCCAGACTGGCCTGGAACTCTCAATCCTCCTGCCTCAGGTTCCTAACTACTGGGATTACAGGCTTGTGCTGCTATGCCCAGCTCCCAAATCTCTTATCTTTAATCCTCACTTGTCTCCTGACTCCTTTATCACTATACTCAACTTTATTGGAAATTTTCTGATTCTCATATATGATAAAGCTCAGTGAACAGTTGTCACTATAGTATGGTTCCCCAAACTAGAAACTTTGCAGAGTGAAAAAAAAACCACCACTACCATCAACTCTGGTGCAGAAGTCTCATTAACTCATCCCTAACCCTTGCATCTCATCCAAGTCGGCCCCTTCCTCTCTGCTTTCAAGGTCGCTGTTAGCATAGGCTCTATACTTCTCTTCTGGATAAAGGCAGTAGCCCTTTCCCTCCTTCTGTCCTTGTATGCAGTGAAGGCTAACAGTACAATCAGCTATGTATTATAGTAAGTCTTGGTAGTCCAAGTAGCATGGTGTGGGTAGAGAGGCAGTGGGTATCACGAGACTGGACCCAAAATAACATAGGTAGAGGCTATTTTATGTTATGAGAAATCACACAAATTTCATGGATAAAAAGGTAATATTACTAAGTTACTTCTATGTACAGGCTAAACGTTTTTGTTTTTTTTTTTTTTTTGGTGGAACTGTGGTTTTAAACTCAGAGCTTCACACTTGTTAAGCAGGTGCTCTATCACTTAAGTCATGGCCCTTGTTCTTTTTGCTTCAGTTGTTTTTCAGATAGGGTCTTGCATTTTTGCCCAGACCAGCCTCAGATCTTTATTCTTCTACCTATGGCCTCCCATTTAGCTGGAAGGCATGAGCTACCACATCCAGTTTATTTTGTTTGAAAAGGGGTCTCATTAACTTTGCCTGGGCTGGCCTTAAACCACAATCCTCCTGACCTCCACCTCCTGAGTAGCAGGGATTACAGACATGAGCCATGGTGCCCAGTCCTTAAATCCTAGTATTAAGTGATTATATATTATTCTGGTCTGCAATACAAAGGCTTCCTAGGAAATAAAAATTTCATGTTTATTATTGCATGATGTTTCTTCTCTACTATTAATTTTTAAGAAAATAAGTTTGCATTTCAAATGCATGAATTGATACCACTAACTCTTTCAGATTTTTTTTTTTTTTTGAGACAGAGTCTTGCTATGTTGCCCAGGTGGTGATCCCCCTGCCTAAGCCTCCCAAGTAGCTGGGACTACATGCACACACCACTGCACCCAACTTGGTTTTTTCCAGTCTAAGTAAACCCAACATCTTCAATGGATTCGAAATGTTTTGAAATATTTAAAATTTGCATAATTTTAATAATAATAATAATAATAATTGTATTAAATGGACTTTTCCATGTCCTCCAGCCACAACTTTGTCCTCTGAGCTTGCACTTCCCCATTGTGTTCCTTCATACCTTACACGTCACCCCTCCACCCAGAAAGCCCTGCCTCTTGTCTGATTCTGGATTCACTTTTAAGGCTGAGCTCCAACACACCTCTGTCAGTGATCACTGCTGCCTCCACCTGGGGCACCCACAACCCTGCTCTTCATTGCTAACTTCAGCTTCTCTGTGCTTATCTTCCTCACCAATGTTTGGAATACAAAGACTGTCTTATAAATATGATCTGCTCATTTCTAGTATCCTCCCCCTCCAAAAGACTTAAATAAATGTTTGAATGAATGACAGAATGGTACCAACTAAATACATCTTAGAATCTGACTGACCATGGTAGGCAATTGACAGGAATTCAATTGGAGCCAAAATATAGATGATGGATTAGCTGGAATCGAATGTCCACTCTATTCTAGGCACCACAGTAGAGGATTCATGTACTTTCTTTTTTAAAAAATTGATATATAAGTCACATACCATAAAATGCACCCTTTTGAAGTGCATCACAATTTGGCTACAAATGGACCAGGTTTGAATGTCATCACCCTTGTCCTCCCCTTGCTGCCTCCAACACCAGATGACGTCAAGACTTGTTCCCCTGTACAAAGCTGCAAGAGACCATGGAGCCAGAAAGTGAACTGACATACACAAGTCCCTGACAAAGCAGGGATATGGTTTAACAAGACATTATGGGGAAAATTCAAAATTTTTCAACCATACATTTTATTGAAAATAGTTAATACATTATTAAAAACATGTAATTGATAAAATGTCAACATTTCCATCCAAGGATGATTTGGTTTTATTCATTTTTGCCAAAGTGGCACACACCTTTTTCCCCCATAACCATTTTGCTTAAGAGCAGGGTCTCTAGTGCCCCCTAATGGTAATTCTTGACATGCTCATAACTGAAATTACATAGCTGAATTACTGCAATCTGACAAGGTGTCACTGCTGCTGCTGTCTTCCCTTCCTGCCTAGAAGGAAGGCGATCTTTAGGAAAACTGTTCTCAGACAAGCTGAGAGCAAAACCCTTTCTTCCTAAGTTACCATCGTCTTTTTAGAGAAACAAAAGCCTGTCAACATGTGGGAGAGAGAGAATCCAGGAAAGTCTCAAAGTAAACCAGGCTATAATCCAGATCCCCAACAAGGGTGACAGGACAGTGAAAATCACAAAGTTTCGCGATTCAGTGCCCTGATTCTTCACCCTGCCTTCATAAAAATGGAAACCACTACTCTGGTCAACACAAGGTCTCCTCCTTCCGGGAGCAGATGACATTTGCCACAGGCTTCAGGAAGCTGACCTTCTCTGAAAGTAGACATCAACAGAGCCTTAGTTCATTCTCAAGACCAAACACTTTGGACTTGAGGCTCCTCAGCTCTCCTTGTATCCTATGTGCTCGTCTGTTGCTGTTGCGTACCTCGCACAGAATGGCAAGGTCCTGGTTTGCCTGGGTATTAAGTGTTGCCTAGAGAGGTGAAAAAAAAAAGGAAATGATTATGGCAAAGCCAGGGGAGGGAAATAAGTCATAAAGAGCAGGCTACGCTGGCCACCTCCTTTTTATGGGGTTCAATCTTTAGTCTGTTCAGTGACTAACTTAAAGTAAGTGTAGAACTAATTCAGAAAAGACAAAGAGATCTCTAAATACTATGGTATCCCATGTAACAGTAAAGGACTCTTGAGATAGAGATCAGTAAACAACTGACAATGGTTAAAAAGAAGAGACCCATATAAACAACATGACTAGCAAATTTGCCAAAGCATGAGAAAAGCACTTCCTCTTTTCTACATTAACCTTGTTCAGAGCACGGCAAATACGTGGATGACTAACTGGCTAAAACTACAAATGCTCTTAGGAGAACTTAGATTCTAAGAGGCTGGGAAAAGGTACTTTACGCTCAACTACTTGTTTTCCCCATTTGTAAGACAGACATCATTCTGTTAACCTTTTCCTTTTTTGGACAGGATGACAGTCCCTACATTCAGCTTAGACGAAGCATTAATGATGTAGCCATTCAATTTCGCTCTTGTTCTCCCTCTAGGGTGCGCATGCTGAACTGATCTCCAGGGAGGCTCAAGGATGGTGACCCAGTGTCTGGGAGTGGGACACCTCTCCCTCTGTTTTCAGTGGTGCTGTGGATCATCCCAGGGCCTGGCGCCCTCGAAGCACACGCTACTGTGGAGCCACCCCGCAGCCTCGCACAGCCCTGCTCGTGACCACACATCCCCACTTCACCTCTTTTCTTCCTCGGAGGAACTCAAGACCAGCAATTACCTGATACAGCATTTGCTCTACGTCTTTCAGCTTCTGTCGCAGAACCTTAATGTCGGTCTTAAAGCCTTCTACTTCCAAGCTACGCCGGCGCTCCAAGGCCTCATAGCGTTTTGTCATTATCTGTAACCGCGTCCCCATTTTGCTAGAGCGATCCTAAATATGGGTGATGGGAAGGCAGTTATGAAGAGGACGGAAGCATTCCCCACAGCTACCTGCACTTCCCCCCGCCTCCATTGTGAGTGGCAGAGAATTTTATACCTTGAAGATCTCTCTCCTCACTTTCTCCTCCTCCCGAATTTGGGCAAGTTCTTCTTCCAGAGAAATGCACTGTTCTTGGTACATGTTGGACAGCTTTTTCTCTTGTACTAACTTGTCCTTTAGGGACTGCAGGCCAAAAGGACAAAGAACATTAATACTAAGTCCTACAATATAGGTGATTCCAATAGCACTTAAGTAATGAAAGGAGAGAAAGAATTTCCAGAAGCACAAAATGAGTTCAGAAACAAGGTGGCAAGAAACTTGAGAGAACATTTGGAAACCTATTTCTGGACTCTTTTCTTAGCTCTTTTTCTTAAGTATACATACTGGAAATTCTTTAAAATAAAACAGTATTTTTGGAAAAAGTCACATAGTGGAGCTCAGAATTTGTTCTAAGCAAGACATTACAATATATGTTTTGGGCCACATATCTGAAGTTCTGCTTCAAAAAGGAAGAAACAGCCAGGTGTGGTGGTTTATGCCTGTAATCCTAGCTATTTAGGAGGCTGAGATTGGGAGGCTTGGAGTTTGAGCTCAGCCCAGGAACACAGTTTGTGAGACACCCCTCCTCCCCAACAGCCATCTCTGAAATAACTAGAGCAAAATGGACTGGAGATGTGGCTCAAGCAGTAGAGTGCCTACTTTGCAAGAGTGAAGCCTTGGGTTCAAACCCCAGTCCCACCAAAAGTAAGAAAACGAGAAATGTGAACAATTATTATATATTCTACTAAACAGACAAAACGATCCTTTAACAACTTAAATAAAATCTCAGCTACTAGGGAGGATCGTGGTTAAGGCCAGCCTGGGCAAAAAGTCAGCTAGATCAAATCTCAATCAATAGCAGGCCTTGGTGTTACCTGCTTGTTATCCTAGCTACATGGGAAGCATAACTAGAAGGATTGTGATCCAAGTCGGCCCTGGAAAAAATGTGAGCACTATCTGAAAAATAATAAAAGCAAAAAAGGCTAGGAGTTTGGCTCAAGTGGTTGCATGCCTGGGAAGTGCAAGGTCCTGAGTTCAAGCCCCAAATACCACTAAAAAAACCCAAAACAAAACCAACAAAAAACCCACAAAGTGCAGTGGCACACACCTATAGTCCCAGGCTACTTAGAAGGCTGATGCAGGATTGCTTGAGCCCAGAAGTTCGAGGCTAGCCTGGGGAACAGTGAAACATCATCTCAAAGGCAAACAAAACCCACCTTAAATCAGATCATGTTCTTTCCTTACACACAACTCTTACAATGTTTAGAGCTAAATTCACATTCCTCACCATGATGTATAAGGCTGTCCATGATTGGCTGCTGCCTACCCGTCCAAGCTTCTTACATATCACTTCCTCCTTGTTTATTCCTCTACAATGACAATCACATCCTTCTTCCTCGAATGTACTCCAGGAACTTTAAACTTGCTTCTTCCTCTGCTGGGAATGCCCTTCCCTTAGGTCTGAATGGCAAGGTTAGTCCCACATAGCAGGTCTCAGCAAAAAACAACATATAAAAGTGTCCCTGTGTTCCCCTTCTGAAATGGGCTTCCAAAAAGTACATACAGTCTACCCTTAGTTCTCTTCTTCCCTAATAACACTTTTTTTTTTTTTTGTGGTACTGGGATTTGAACTTGGGGCCTACACCTTGAGCCACTCCACCGGCCTTTTTTGTGAAGGGTTTTTCGAGATAGTGTCTCTTGAACTATTTGCCCAGGCTGGCTTCAAACAGTGATCCTGCTGACTTCTACCTCCTGAGTAGCTAGGATTACAGGCATGAGCCACTGGTGCCCCGCTTAGCACTTTTTTTAATCTATCATTTTCCTATTTTTCTCTTACTCCCTAAAGTGTAAACACCATGAGAACAGACCCTGTCTACCTTATGTAGTTCTGTAGTCTCAGAGGCTGGCCCGTTTGTTGAATGAATGAATCAAGTCTAGTTTTTTAAATCCCCAGACAAGATAGTGTGTTATGACACTGTTGCCATCTCATTACACTGTCGTAACTCAAGCTTCCTGGATTGACTGAATCTTATAGGACAATTTGTAGGTGTTTTGGAATTTTCTGAGTTCTTTCAACCCTTTCAGAAAAATCAATAATGTCTATGAGCTGCAAGGATATTACCTTAACGTACTCGTTCTGGGCACAATGACTCTCGTGGAAAACTGGCACAATTTTTCCAATTTTCTCTGCTTTCTTTTTATACTGCACCCTATCTTGCTTGATCTTTGCTAGCAGATGATCTTTTTCAAGCATCCATGCCTTCTCTTTGTTTTGGTTTTCAAATCTCAGTTGTAAAAATTCTTTGGTGCTCTCATATAGCAACTCTTGGGTGTGATGGAGACTATGAAGGAAAGAACAAATGTGGACATTAGGCCCTTGCACAGAACATCTGAAAACAGGGTCATCCCAAAAGGGAGATACTGGTTATTTTAAATTGTGCAATATATGAATTTAAAAAAATATTATTAGCATTTTAAAAACAAACTTGGTTGGATCACTGTCAATCTGACATGTTTTACTGGGCAGTGTGCAATGTATCCGCCCATGCTCCCTGGCTCACAGATTAGTCTTTACATTTTCCTGAGTGCTGATATGAGGGTATATGATTAAAGAATGACATAGCCTACAGAGGTGTAGACTATTCTCAGTAATGATACAAGGAAGATCTAAGTCATGGTGTTCTGACTGAGGTTAACCCAAGGTCTAAAATACCAAAGACGGCTTTGCTTTTGTTTATGCTGTGCTCAAAGTGGACTGCCCTACTTCAAAATCTTGTCTTTTTTCTTTCTTTTTCTCTCTCTTTTGAGAAGACAGGGTCTGGCTGACTTGCCCAGGCTGGTCTTGAACCTGCAAGCCTCCTGCTTCAGCCTCCTGAGTAGCTGGGATTATAGAAGTACTCCATCATGCCTGGCTAAAAATCTGTCTTTTTTTTTTTTTTTTTTTGAGATTGATCCCTCTATGAAGTCATCTCATTCTTTAGTCCATTTTAATTTCTCTATTCTCTTAAATTCCATATCAGTTTTAACATATGCCCTGTCTTAATTCAATATTTGCTATATAGTATATAGATTTTAAATGCTAACATGTATACTTTTCCCAAATTGAGTGAAAGCACATACCGTATTTTTAGTCCACTACCACCAAACTGTTAAGGACGGTACCAACTACTGGACTTCTATGGGCTCTAAATAGCTTCCTGCTGACTCTTCTTAAGATGTAGGAATAAATAAATGTTTGTATCTTTAAAAAAGAATTTCTCTGAAAGTTAGCAACTCATTGGTTTAACATCAACACTTAGAAAAACACTATCAAATGATCTAATTGCCTGCAAGACTATTAAATTCCATGAAGCAATCACTATAATTTTCCACTGAACAAATAATGTCATATTCTTTTAATTCTCTTTATGAGGAACAGGGTACCTAGATAAGTGGAAAAAATGATAGCTAGTGCCAGGCACAAGTAATGTTACCAGATGAATATGTGTATTTATTTGGGTATGTGTGTATGTGTGCATATATATACATATATACATATATATATATATACACACATATAAAGAAGGAGACTGATTCAGTTACCGCAAGATCTGTCTTCAATAAGTAATTTTATTCTGTCTTATATTAGGTTCTCAATTACAAACTAGGAAAGTATGAACTCAATGTACAAATGGCTTGTAAGTGACACCCAAAGGACAGTTATTAATGTCCTGGATCTCAAGCCATTCTATGTCCTTAGGATGATCTATCTAATGGAAGAAATTGATCATGTGCTCAGATATGCAAATAATGCTAAACTAGCCTGGTGACTAATATTCTGGAAAACCAATATAAAATTACAAACTAGAGACTGTGGGTATAGTCAGTGGTAGAGCACTTGCCTAGCATGTGCAAGGTCCTGGGTTCAATCCTCAGCCCTTCAAAATAAATAAATAAATAAATAAAGATTAAATGTAAGATGTTTAGTGCAAAAAAAGAGATGTGAGGTGCAGCTTCATAAGGCTCATTGAGTATTCAGCACCCATTTGCTATGTGGCCGTTGTGCACGTGACTGCAGAGGCAACAGAGCAAGACTTGGAAACCAAGACATAATTACTGTATGTGGCGATAAGTGTCATAAAGGCACATCAGTCATTATGGGAATACAGAGGAAGACTTAATGTGGCCTAGGTAAGTCTTCTGAGGAGGGGTGCCTGCTGCATACAAGTGTTCCATAAACAGTAATTATTATTAGTCTGCCTGATGCACAAAGTGAGCTGAGGCTGAAAGATCAATTTGGTGTCAGATGATGAAGTTCCTAATAATTCATGCTAAGATGTCAGGACTTTATCATAAGGTAAGTAGAGAAATAGCACATAATTTTAAGCAGTTGATAACTCTTCGTGGAGGAGTTAACTCATAGTGGGGAAGACTACAGAATACAAACAGACAAGAGATAGGAGGAGCCAGGTGCTGGTGCTCATGCCTGTAATCCTAGCTACTCAGGAGGCAGAGATCAGGAGAATCTCAGTTTGAAGCCAGCCTAGGCAAACAGTTCACAAGATCTTGAAAAACCCCATCACAAAAAAGGGACTAGTGAAGTGGCTCAAGGTTATAGGGCCTGGGGAGAGGAATGGAGCAGGAGGAAAGGGGGGGAGAAATGACCTAAACAATGTATGCACATGTCAATATGTAAATAAATAAAATAAAGCAAATCATGGTGATAATTATTTAAAAAAAAAAAGGTATAGGTCCTGTCAGGTGTGGTGGCTCACGTCTATAATCCCAGCTACTCAGGAAGCAGAAATCAGGAGGATTGTAGTTTGAAGTCAGTTTGAGCAGATAGTTCGTGTGATCCTATTTCAAAAAAATTCATCACAAAAATTGATGGAGTGGATCCTGGTGGAGTGACTCAAAATGTAGGCTCTGAGTTCAAACCCCAGTACCAGGGAAAAAAAAAAGGTGTAGGCCCTGAGTTCAAAACCCCAGCACCGGGGTGGAGAGGTGAGGGTGACCCAAACAATGTATACACATATGAGTAAATGTAAAACCAATTAAAAAAACACACACACAAAAAACCAGCACCACAAAAAAAGAAAAGTGAGGAAGAATAGTCAGATTATTCAACAATTTAAACAAAACAATAGAGCTTGAATCAACATGGAAAGCATGAGAGGCAGAGAATGGATCTGAGAGATTTCTCTGGGTTACAAACATAGGGCATAAGAAGTTTGAGGCTGAGGTTCCAAGCTTGGGAAACTACACAGATGAAATGCTGTGGATCTAAATGGGTAGGTTTGAGATGGGAAAGGGAGTGTTTTTTGGGAGAGAAAAACACTTTGGTGTCCAAGCGCACTCAGTGGAAGACAGCATTACGCAAGTGAAGTGAAGAGCTGAGGACATTTTGATTGAAGAACCAAGACAGAAGAGGCAGAAATCAAGGGTGGTGAATTTCAAAGAGGGGGTGATCAGCAAATCAAATATGCACAGAGATACTATTATGATGAGGACTGAAAAGTGATAACTGGGTCCTAGAAACTAAGAAATCAATAGTAGGCTAGAGGCATGGCTTAAGTGGTAGACCTCTTGCCCAGCAAGAGTGAAGCCCTGCTGGTGGTTTGCGCCTGTCATCCTAGCTACTCAGGAGACAGAGATGAGGAGGATCGCGGTTCAAAGCCAACCCAAGCAAACAGTTCAAGAGACCCTATCGTGAAAAAAAATCTTTCACAAAAAAGGGCCAGTGGGGTAGGGCTCAAACGGTAGGGTACCTACCTAGCAAGCATAAGGCCCTGAGTTCAAACTCCAAAAACAAAAACAAACAAACAAATAAAATAAAAAGCTAATGATAATCTTAGAAAGGGCATGTTTAGTAACAAAACTAGTAAGTAGACACAGTTTGTAGTATTTTCCTTTTGAGATAGGGTCTATGTTGCCAAGGCTGGCCTCGAACTCTTGGGACTCAGGCAATCCTGCTACCTCAGCCTGAACAGTTAGCTGGGACTACAGGAGTGCCACTATACCAATCTGCAGTATTTTTTTTATAGGTATAAGGTCGTTTTCCATATTCCATATTCAAAAGAAAAAGGTTATATTACATTGAGTCAGAGAATATCAGTGGATAAAAGAAAATTTCTTAACCATTAGTATCTGCTAAAACACTAAAATTTGTTAAAAGGAGCATGTGGATTACTCAGTTCTTTTGGTAGTACTATGGTTTGAATTCAGGCATTTGCACTTGCTAGGCAGGCCCTCTACAGCTTGAGCCATACCTCTAGCACTCACTAGCTCTTTAAGAGAGAACTAAAAGCATCTCCGGAAAAGCCTGGATACTCACCTCCTGAGATGCAAAGGGGGTCTGAAGAAGACCATTTTTCCAAGATCCGTTTCAGTTCTGCAATTGTCTGTTGCTACAGTATACAACTATACTTTGTGGGGAGTTTTGTTTGTTTTGTAATTCTGGGGATTGAACCCAGGGCTTTGTGTGTGCTAGGCCTGCATGCTACCCACTGAGCTGCATACCCAACCCAAGAACTGCCAACTTTTAAGCCAATCAGAAACACAGAACACCTGTTAGGTACATAGTTCTTGAACACTCACCTTTTGGTTAGCTCTTTGACTTTGTTCTGATTTCTCTCTTGCTGAATTTGTATTTCTTCAATGCGAATCCGTCTGTCCTCCATGAGCCCTTCAACTTGTTCTCTGGAAAGCCTGGTTTGCTCTCCCAACTGTGCTTGCAGTGCTTCTACCTACACAGGTCAACAGAGGTGAGGCATCCACTCTTATTCCTTCTTACTTCATACCTCCAAAAGTTAGCCTTTCTCCAGAAATAAAGTAAAATAAAACCAAACCACTAAACCAAAACCAAAAATACAACAGCAAAACAAGCAGTACAAAATGCTCTCATCCATTCAATGTCATGTAATTGAGGTTAGGCTACACAAGAACAGACTCTGTCCATAGGTAGTCCACATCTGTATCACACAGAGAAAGCTACAAAATCTATTTTCCCCAGTCTATCATTCTTGCCTTTCCACTGTCTCCTTTTGGACATTTAGGACTGTCTCCCTTTTAAGATGCCCTAGTTGTGTAGAAACAGAAGGACTCTTTCTTAGTTTTTGGTTTCAAAAAGTAGAGCAAAATGAATGGATATAATTTCCTTCTCTGAGGCTGCCTCAACTCTAGATATACTGGTCACAGGTAGAAACAGTTGTTTACATCAATGGGCCTCCACCCCGACTAGGACAGGACCTTTAGAGTAACTAGCTGGGAAATCATAGTTCCAAATGACTTACAATTACAAGGTGTTAAGAACATAATTTATTGCTTTCCTAGATTTTAGAACTCATGTACTAAATAACTGGATGTAACCCCAAATATTGATCTGTCAGCATAGATAAGCTTCTCTCTGCAATTCCCTATGTATCCCTGAGGCCAATCACAATACAAACTCTTACATTAGGATGGTTTTGCTGGGTAGGACTTAGCATATGAACTGAGAGTTAAGAGAAGCACTTCTAGAATGTTTGATAGAGAATAATGGTTTTAAAATATTAGTGCTTAGAAATTAGGACCAATTTTCTTAATTCCATCATGCCTAGATGCAATTCAGGTATAAGGAAATACTTATCATATGATCCTGAAAGGTATGTTATACAAAGCCAAATGAGTGAATAGAAACCATCTTTGTCTACCAAAATAAATACGCTACCTGTAGGATGAGGATTTGTATGTCTCTTTGGTAATGTTCAGAATTGTCTTCCTTTTCTTTCAATGTTGATCTTTTCTTGCTCACTTTAGGCTCTAAAATACAAAACAAAAATTCATCAAGAATTTTCTTCAGCTTTTCTTTCTGCTATTCAAGTATCAACATTAACCCTGCAGAGGAGAAAAGGAAAACCCTGCTTAATTTTTCTTCACAAGGGAAACTGCAAAAACAAAATTTAATTCCCAGCCTGGCTCTAGAAGCTCAGTAAGAGCCTATAATGCCAGAGGCACCATAACAAACATCAGCTATACAGTAGAAAATTTTCTAATTATTTATACTGTGATTTTAATTCTGCAACAATGAGAACTTCTAATAATACAGTTATTACCTGCTTTAGAATCTGAAGGCTCTTTATGCTCGTGTGTATCTACAGCCTGGACAGTCTTTTGGAGAATGCTGACCTGAAGACGAGAAGGGTATAGCAACAGCCTTCACGTAAGTGTGAAACTTTACTTTTTGGCCCTAATTCTGCAGATCCAATATGATTTACAAGTTAAATTGGTCAAAATTTATATAATCATATAAGGATATCATGTACATGAGCGACAACATGGGGAAACGAACACTCTGGATAAAACCCAGTGTTGATGATAAAAATAAGTAAATAAGATCACAGAGCTATTTATCAAAATATGCTTTAAAAAGTGCTTCTTGACAAGGACCCTAAGGAAAATAACAGAAGGCAAAAATGTGCTTTTGTAGATACGTACAAAAATGCTACTGAGAAATAGTTTATACAGGTGAAAAAATGGTCATGCATGGTGGTGCACACCTATAATCCCAAGTGGAGGCAGGAGGATCCGGGTTCAAGGCCAGCCTGGGCTATGTAGTGAGACTCTGTTTCAAAAAGTCACATAAACACATAAAGTGAAAAAATGGAAACAGTGCACAAATACATGTAAATATTTCGATATGAGTGGAAAAAAGTTGTAAATATATATATCAAACTATTAATAATGGTTTATTTCTGAGGGTCAGGTGCCAATTGTACATGATAGACTTCTGTCTGTGTTTTTTTTGTTTTGTTGACGGTACTGGGGCTTGAACTCAGGGTTTCATCTTGCAAGCACTATCGCTTCAGTCAAGTCCTCATCTCTGTGTGTTTGCTTTTAATAATGACCATTATCACATTTGTGATCAGTATAAACACAGATTTAAAAAGAAACTTACATACTGAGCTGGGGGCATGGCTCAAGCAGTAGGTAGAGTAGGTAGAGGGCCTACATAGCAGGTATGAGGCCCTGAGTTTAAATCCAGTACCACCATCACCAAAGAAAAAAGAAACTTAAGTACTGAAATTTTCTCTTCACAAAGTCTGCCCCTACTTTCTTGTTTATCCTCAGCTAGAACATCTACCTTTCTGGACTTTAGGTTTCCTTTCCTCTCCTTCCCTTCCCTCCCTCCGTCCCTTCTTCTTTCTAGTGCTGGGGATAAATCCAGGGTCTCACATATGCTAGGTAAGGTGCTCTATCATTGAAGTACACCCCTAGCCATGGGCTTTATTTTTCTGAATGGTGAAATAGGGTACACAATGTTACTTCCCAAGGCTTTTGAAGGAAAACTCAGGTAAACATAGGTCTGTGATGGCTAACTACTATACATGTGGTTTCTTGGTTTTTTTTGGTTGTGGGACTGGGGTTTGAACTCAGGGCTTCATGCTTGCAAAGCAGGTGCTCTACCACTCTGGTCCAATTGCTCTGGTTATTTTGGAGATGGGGTCTTGTGAATTGGTTGCCCAGCTGGACTTGAACCAAGATCCTCCCAACCTCAGCCTTCCAAGTAGCTCGGTTTACAGGTGTGCACCACAACACTTGGTCTCCATATGGCTTCTTTAGCAAGTACTAAGGTTGTTTTGACTATGGACCCTCACCTATACATTGTAAAGGCCACACTCACCATGCTATATCAAAGATTACTTACTTTGTGGGGAGGCTCCTTACAAAAATAGGTCACTTCTCCAGTGTCTGTTCCCACAAGAGCCAAGAGATTCTGAATCTTCTTCTTGTCTTCTAGTTCCCTACAATTCTCACAAAAAAGAAGCACATTATATGCCTCAAATAACCTTTTCTGCTTAAAGGATTTCCCTTCTGACTTATTTTACAACATGATAACTAAACAGGATTTATCCAGACCAGTTTTTAAGACATCAGTCATTACCATTAGGAATTGAGAGAGAAGGGGCCAGGAAATAATTTTTAGGTGGTTCTCAAAGGTAGACTGCCTAGATGTGCCTCTGAAGGGCTCATTCTCCAGATGGTTCATAGCTGAATTTCTCTTGGAACTGCTCTTAGCCACAGGCAACTGCTTCTCCCGTTTCTCTCTCCCATTCCTTAGAGACGGCCTGCACCCAGTGCCTGGTCAACGAGGGGATACAAAAACCCAATCTCTTTGCTTCAACCATATTCAGAGCCTTGGTGGTATTAGCTGAGGCCTGCTGTAACTTGAATCACAGCTGAAGTTCTCTATCCAATCAGGCTTTCCTTATTTCCTCAGAGTCCTTCCAACAAAACTTCCTGCAAGCAAATCTCCATTGTGCAATTTGTTTCCCAGGGAATCCAACCGATGACAGCTCAGGACTGGTCCAAGGAAGAAACTCTAAAGAGGGATTTCAGAGCTAAGTGATATGGAGAAGATTTATAGAACACAGGGCTCCTAGGAGCAAGACAGATGGGGAGTCAACAGGGGATAACTTAAACAATCAAAATAATCAAAGATGCTAAAGAGGGTGAGGGACATGCCCCATAAAAAAATAACAATCTCTGGCCCATTCTCCAGACTATTAGCAAAAGAGCCTGGACCTCCCAGGAGGCAAGAACCTGTGACACCACAACAAGTGTACCTAGTAATGATTCCCCCAGTCCCTCTTCAAAGAGCCTGTGGTCATCTGTTCAAGTAGTTATGCTGGGGGAGAGGGAATACCCAGGCATTTCAAGGATTGCTGGATACAGGGTCTCAGGTGACACGATACCTGGCAACCTGAAGCATCATTGTGGCACAGGACATATAATACATGGAATTTTGGGCCAGGTCCAGCTCTCAGTGGGTCTACTGAATCTTAAGACCCAATTAATGGTCATTTCCCCAGTTCCCAAATGTATAATTGGAATGCACATACATACTAGATGACACAACCTCCAAATTAGTTTCTTGGCTTCTGGGGTAAGTCAAATGGAAACCTCTCAAACTACCTCTCTACCCAGTCAAGATGGCAAACAAAGACATAAAAAATGCAGAGAGATGGTCCTTATCAAATCTTCACTTCTTTCACCAGTAGGACCTATACAAAAACAAATGGATTCTAGAGGATAACAGCAGACTTCTATTCAGAAGGTCCCAATTTCATCATCAGTGCCAGATGTATCTTTGTTAGAACAGACTATAAGCTGGTCTCAGATACATGGAATGTGGTCACTGATTAGGCAAATACATTCTTTTCTATCCCTCCAAGGACCAAAACAGCTCATACTCATGTGAGGTTGGCAAGAGTATACATTTATAGCCATGGTAACTCTTTTGCTCCCTGTCAATATAGTGTAAATTCACTACTGGTGATATGATGGTAAGATATGTGTACTCCACATAAAGATAAAGCTTTATAGCACATGAGTGAAGATTTTAGGGCATGACAGGTCACTCTCTTCAAAGTAAAAGATAAATTATTGCATCTTATATCTATCACCACTAAAAAGGAAGCATAATGTCTGGAGGTATTGAAGACTACAGGTTCTATACTTTGGAATATTGTTCTAATCATGTATAAGTGACATGGAAAGTGAGCTTTCAGCATGGCCCACAGCTGAAAGGAGACTGCATTAGGTCAGAGTTGTGGTGCATGCATTTCTGCTGCTCAGCCCATATGACCTGACATCTTATGGCACCTGAGGGTGGATAAGGTGTCATGTGATGTTTTCAGCAGGCCCCATTACAAAAACTGTAACACAGAACCCCTGGAATCAGGAGCAAGGCCATGCCTTTCAGAACTAAGAATTACCTAACACTTGAAAACCAGCTTCTGGCATGCTACCAGAACCTGCTAGATATGGAATGCTTGACCATGGGACATCAAGAATCCATGTGGCTACATCTCGGTAAGTGATTCTGGGAAAACTGGACATCCACATTCAAAAGAATGAAGTGAGGCCCTTAGCTAATACGGTATGTAAAAAATTAACTCAGAATGGATCAGATGCCTGGTGTGCTGGCTAACACCTGTAATCCAGCTCCTTGGGAGGCGGAAACTAGGAGGATAGAAGTTCAAGGCCAGCCTGGGCCAAAGTGAACAAAAGCTCATCTCATAGAAACAAAAAGCCAGCCACAGTGACACCCCAGCTAAGGGGGAGGATCGCTGTCCAGGCCAGTCTGGGCAAAAATATCCAAATCAGTAAGGGATGGGGATATGGCTCAAGTGGTAGAGCACCTGCCTAACAAGCATAAGGCTCTGAGTTCAAACCCCATAATGCAGCCTACTTGGGGAGGCTGAAATCAGCAGGATCATAGTTCAAGGCTAGTCAGGCAAATAGTTTGAGAGATCCCATCTGCAAAATGGATTGAAGACATTTTTTCTGTTTGGGAGGGGCACTACTAGGGTTTGAATTCAGGGCCTCACACTTGATAGGCAGGTGCCTAGCAGCCCTAAAACTATAAAATTCTTAAATAGAATTTAAGAGCATAGAGAAAAATCTTCTTGACGTTGGATTTGGCAATTACTTCTTGTATGTGATAGCAAAAGCAGGCCACGAAAGACTAAATGGGACTACAACAAAATTTAAAATTTCAGTATATCAAAGGACACAATAAAGAGAGTGAAAAGGCAAGTCAGGTGCCAGGTGGCCACTCCTGTAATCCTAGCTTTTCATGAGGCAGAGATCAGGAGGATCTCGGTTCAAAGCCAGCCCAGACAAATACCTCAAAAGACCCTATCTCGAAAAACCCCATCGCCAAAAAATGGGCTGGCAGACTGACTCAAGTGGCAGAGTGCCTGCCTAGCAAGTGTAAGGCCCTGAGTTCAAACCCCAGTGCCAGCAACAAAGACAAAGTGAAAAGGCAATCTATGGAATGGTAGGAAATATTTGCATATCATCTTATAAGGGATTAATATCCAGAACATATAAGGAACTCCTACATCTCAACAATGACAACGAAAACCCAATTAAGAAATGAGCTTGAGTTTACATTTCTGCAAAGATACACAAGTGACTAACAAACACCATGAAAAGATGTTCAACGTTATTAGTCATTGAGGCAATGCAAACCAAAACCATAGTGAAATACCCTTCACTTCAATGAAGATGGTGACTAATGAAAAGCCAGAAAATAAATGTTGGCCAGGGTGTGGAAAAACTGAAAATTATGTGTTGTTATTGGAAATGTAAAATGGTGTAGCCACTAGAGAAAACAGTATGGCATTTCCTCAAAAAATTAAAAATAGAACATGGGGGGTTACTGTTTAAAGGGTACGGAGTGTCAGTGTGGGAATATGAAAAAGTTTTGGAGGTGGATGGTGGTGAAGGTAGCATAAATGTACCTAATGGCATTAAACACTGCAAAATGACTAAAACGGTAATTTTTATTTTTGGAGATATTGGGGTTTGAAATCAGGGCCTATACCTTGAGCCACTCCACCAGCCCTTTTTGGTGAAGGGTTTTTTTGAAATAGAGTCTCAAGAACTATTTGCCTGGGCTGGCTTCAACTGTGATCCTCCTGATCTCTGCCTCCTGAGTAGCTAGGATTACAGATGTGAGCCTCCAGCACCCAGCTTAAAATGGTAAATTTTATGTTTCTTTGTCTTTGTCTGTGTCTGTGTCTATGTTTCTCCCTCTTTTTCTCTTTGTCTATCTCACATACAGAGAGAGAAGTGTATTGTAGTGGATACTGTAGTGCACTGTCCAGATGTATTCTTTAAGATCAAGAAACGCATCTCCCGTGAACCAAGCTCTTCTCCAAGAATTGTGCTTGGCCAAAGGGGCTTTCCTCTGCTAAGTTTCTGCCCTTTCCATGAGGGCAGCCTATCTATTTCCAATGACTGGTCAATAAGAGATAGAAGTCTGAATCCTTTGCCTCTAAAAGGCCACCCTAACCTTAGAGCTGTCTATGGGGCTGGAATAGCTTCTGTTACCACTGAATCACAGTTTAGATTCTTTCATAGGAATTACTTGCCAAAAAGTCTGCTCACAGGTATTTTTCCTGACAGCCTCCCCAGTAACTGTCCTACAGGCAAACTTCAATCTCAGAGTAAATTTCCTGGAGACTATAACCTAAGAGAATGTAGATAAATTTATCATTTTAAATGTAATTCTCAGTCATAACATCATTTCTCTCTCCTACTTTGTACCTGATTCTCAGCCGGTCATTTTCTGAATAGAGGCGTAAAACATGTTCCCGTTCCTGGAAAAGGCAGACCTGCATATCACTTAGAGCTTTCTGCAATTCAGCAATCTCTTCTTCTCTCTGCTGCAAATCCCATTCAAGTTTATGCTGCAAAAAACCAAAAAGGTAGTTGAAAAGACACTGGGTTTGAGAGGAGCACTTTCTACTAGATATGGAGGAGACAATTTATGTAGAAATATTCCAAAGTGATGGTTTCACCAATACAGAATTCAGATGACAGCACTAAGCTGTATATAGACTTGAGTTTACTTGAGTTTAAAAGCAATAGAATGAACTGGGGTGAAGCTTAGAGGTAGAGCAGGTGCTTACTATGCATGAGGCCTCAGGTTCCATCTCCTAGCACATGAAAGAAAGGAAGGAAGGAAGGAAGGAAGGAAAGAAAAAAGAAAAAGCTGTGCTGTGCACTGGTGGCTCATGCCTGTAATCCTAGCTACTCGGCAGGCAGAGATCAGGAGGATCATGGTTCAAAGCCAGCCTGGACAAATAGTTCTCGAGACCCCTATCTCAAAAAAATCCTTCACAAAAAAAGGGCTGGTGGAGTGGCTCAAGGTATAGGCCTTGAGTTCAAGCCCCAGAACCTCAAAAAAAAAAAAAAAAAAAAAAAAAAGCTATAAGGTGAGTATAAAGTTTACCCATGTTAAAGCTCTAGAATCTTCCTTTTACAGACACTATAGTACCCAGAATGCCACATCTCACCTGTTCGTTCTATACTTCATGAGTAATGCTTTGTACACAATATATATCCTATGATACTAAGGAAAGCAAAGATGAAAAATACGATTCTTGCAAACAGAGCTGGGGAAATTCATGGGGAAGCAGACATACAATTAAAATAGTTATCTAATGGCAGAGCATGCATGGTAAAACAGTATGGGAAAGAGAGTAAAATGTCTAAAACCTGTTTGGGAAGTCAAAGATCACTGCCAAAGCACTGAAACTTAAAAAAGAATAGACTGGGAAATGCTCAGAAAATGGCAGTCAATGCAGAACCACAGAAGAGCCTAATACATTTGCTAAAAAGGAAGAAAATACTGTCACATGCTACAATATGGATAAAATTAAGGACTATGCTAAGTGAAATAAGCCAGTCACACACACAAAAAAAAGCCATATGATTCCACTTATATAAAGTATTTAAGTGCTCAAATTCATGGAAATCAGTAAAATGGTGGTTACACAATGGGGGAGAAATGAGGCCATGTCTGCAAGAAGAAAAGGTTCTGGAGATGTTGCACAACAATGTGAATACAGTCTACACTACTGAGCTGCACACTTAAAAATGGTCAAGATGGTTACAAAGAAATTTCACAAGGAAAAAAGAAAGTACAGGAGGGGAAGGTCAACTTGTGCTTGCATCAATACTTCAATCCTTGGAAGAATGTTATCATGGATAAATAGAGATTATGATTCTTTTTCAATAAAAATTTAACTACTGAACATAGGAACAGATGAATTTTCAAATTAATTAGTTTTGATTTTTGGTTATTGCTTTGTGTGTGTGTGTGTGTGCGTGTGTACGTGTGGGCTGGGGATTGAACCCAGACCCTTACAATTTCTAAGCAAGCACTCTTAACACTTGAGCTATGCCCCCAGAACTTTCATTTTTACTTTTGTGTTTGAAAAAGGGTCTTACTGCTAATTTTGCCTGGCTGGCCTTGAATTTGAGATCCTCCTGCCTCTATCTCCCAAGCAGCTGGGATTACAAGCAGGTGCCAACATGCCTGGGTGGTTGTTGCTTTTGCAAGCTTTGATGATCCATAGACTAAGTGGTACTATACAGGCATGCTCGTCTATTTTTATCAATGTTAGATTTAGTTTCAATTGCATATTCATAAAATATATTTAAATCTAAAGAGAAATATTTGTGATTGGACTATTCAGTCAATGGTAATACATGGCAAATACATTTCTTAAGCTGTTTATAGAAAATAGATCAATCTTGCTATAGCAACCTTGAAGCACAGGTACACATTTGCATGTTATACAAAGATTCAAATGTGACTTCTTTTCTCCAGACACGGTGCCACTACGTAGCTTAGACTGGCCTCAAGATCCTCCTGCCTCTGCCTCCTAAGAGCTGGGATAACAGGTGCTGCTGTCAGTAAATTAAAGGCAAGCAAATACTTTTGTTTTCTCTCTCTATGCTAAACAAAAAATACACACAAGGTGACATTTGTTAGGTAAAACTTGTTTTAATTTCACATTAAAATGCAATATAACCATTCTTCAACAAAATGATCAGAGTACTAAGAAAATCATCTTTAGAGGAAGTGTTTAGTAAGCATATTTAATTTACTTATTTATTATTTATTTTTGAGGTGCTAATTGAACTCAGGTGTCTTAAGCATGCTAAGCAAGCACTTTACCACTGAGCTACATCCCCAGCCCTAAGCATACTTTATTTAAATACATTTTCCAGTAAGAAATGCAGAATTCATTGTCTTTACTTAGAATAAGGCTGCATAAATAGTTCTCTTTCAAATCTATCTTATAACTTACCAATGTTCCCTTATTGGAAATGTTCCAAAAAGGACTTTACGGTGTCAAAATTCACTGAGCCACACTTCTTGACAGTGTTAAAGTTCTGAGTCCCCTTTAGCTTGATTCTCTCGATTCCAGCTAGGCTTTATTAGTGGTCCACTTTGTATCATTTCCTCCACCTTCATCAATTTTCTGTACAATACTCCAGTCCCTCACTAGGATGTCTCAGTGTCACAGGACTTCTCTTTCTCTCTTAGCATTCTTCTTCAAACTTGAGGTGGGATGGCCCACTGTGGCCCATGGCTCCACGTGCTTGCCTTCTACCTAACAACTCCCTCAGTCTTGCCTTCGAGAGATGGATTTCAAGAGGTGGTTCACACCATGGAGTAACTCTTCCCATTACCACCAGATCAGATGACCTCTCTGTGAAATGCACCTGCACATTCTCAGTGTAGACTTGAACTCCAGTTTAGGTTAGGTTTTTTTCACCTCCTTCTCTGACTGATCTCACCTATATCAGTGATTCTTCACTATAATCCTATTGGGATGGGAGCAACCACAGCTGGCTTCCCATTGTCAACTCATCTATAATGCTTATGGCTTTTCTGAAACAGTAGTTCTCATCCAGGTTGATTTTACACTCTACCTATACTCCTCCCCATCCCTGCCCAAATATCTCTGGCAATGCCTGGAGACATTCTTGATTGTTATAACTATGGGAACTATAGTACTGAAATATAGTGGGTAGAGGCCAGAGAAGCCACTAATCATCCTATTATGCACAGGACAGGGAGAGACCCCTCCCCAAACAAATATTTACTCAGACCAAGGGTCTATAATACTAAGGTTAAGAAATCCTGCTCCAGAATAGGTGGCAGAGAGTTGGATTTGTGCTATGTAGGTGGAGCAAAAAAATAATTTAGCATTGTAGGCAGGATAGTTGTTACTGAAATAAAGCATGAAGAGGCTTAAGTTAGAAGGACATGATGTCAGGAACTAATACATAGCATTTACAAAGTCCAGAAGCTATGGGACTGGAGGCGTGGCTTGAGAGGTAGCATGCCTGCCTAGGAAGTGTGAGGCCCTGAGTTCAAAACCCAGTAACCTTCTCCTATAAAAAAGAAGCTATACAGCCAGGTGTCAGTGGCTCATGCCTGTAATCCCAACTACAGGGAGAATTGCTGTTTGAAGCCAGCCTGGAGAAATAGTCTGTGAGACCTTATCTTGAGAAAACCCTTCACAATAAAGGGCTGGTAGAGGCTCATGGTGTATACCCTGGGTTCAAACCCCAGTACTGCAAAAAAAAAAAAAAAAAGAAAAAAAGCAACAATGAAGTTAAAGAGTAAAGGGATGAAAGAACTAGAAGTATGAGATGGAGATGTTATGAGTTTAAGATTTTAGAGGTAAAAGTTCAAACCCCAGTTCCACCCCTGCCAAAAAAAATTTAGAGGTTAAAACAAACAAGCAAGGCATGGTGTCAGTTCCATTTACTTGGGAGGCTGAACCAGGAGGACTGCTTAAGCCTAGAAGTTCAGGGCAGCCTGGGCAATATACCAAGACCACCACTCAGAGAGAGAAAAAAAAGTGAAAAGATTATAGAGGTAGAGGAATTTGGGAGGTTAGAAGCCAACGAGTGGCTTGAAGGTAGGTAGCTGGGCTGGGGGAAAAAAAGAGTATTTTTATGAAATAACAGCTCGTGATACAAGCAGGCACTTTCAAAGCTTCTCTAGTGAACAGACTTAATTGAGAGTCCTAAAAAGGCATGCATTTTTTTTTCTTTAATTTATTGATAGTAGCTTTTTGTCTTGTTTTGACATGGGTTGTAACTATGTTGCCCAGGCTGGTCTCAAACTCGTAGGCTCAAGCAACCTTCCTATGTCAGCATCTTGAGTAGCTGGGGCCACAGGCATGTACCACCATGCCTGGCCATTATCTGTCTTTTACCTGTTCTTCACAAGCTTCTTTGTAGAGTTTCAGCTTCTTCAGTAGGTCCTCATTATCTGCCTCACACTCAGTCATCTTCTTCTGATAATATTCCAGAAGTTCCTGAGAAGGGCAGAGGACTGCCAGACGATCTCTGGTTGAAGGCAAGGGTGTTGAGTCCATTGAATCTGACATTTCCCTCCTCCTGGTGGAACCACTGAAACTGGAGCCAGCACATTTACAGGTAATTGTTAGTCTATGTGAAATCAGAAAGCATGTATTCATGAACATTTATAAAACGTTATAATTTTTTAAATCAAAGGGAGTTTATGTCCTTTTTTGGGGGTAGCACTAGAATTTGAACTCAGGTCCTTAAGCTTGCTAGGTGGGAGCACTACCACTTGAAGCATGCTCCCCAGCCCAGAGGGTTTATGCTCTTTTTGTTTTCATTTTTTGCAGTACTGAGATTTGAACTCAGGGCTTTGCACTTGCCAGGCAGATGCTCTACTTCCTGAGCCACACCTCCAGCCCGAATTTCTTAATGTGCTTATAATTAAGATGCTCACATGTATATAAATTTGATTTTACAGGTTAGTGAGCAATTTTCTGAACTGTCTTCCAAGTATCAATCGTCAAAACTAGATTCAAAATAAAATGATTATGTTAAAAACTAGAATATAAATGAAGTTAAGACCACATAGTAACAATTAGAAAAGTTAGTACTAAGACACACAGCAATGGAAAAACCACATCAGACTAATCTCTAGCATCCGAGATTTGAATTGCACAGACTAGGATTAGATGACAAACGGCAAAAGACTGATGAAAGGCTGGACAAGAAGTTTTCATTTATTTTCTCTTAGCAAACAGGAGATTTAAGATAACACAGTGAAAGAAAACAAATGGTGTAGAAGTAGAGAAGGGCTCAGGTGAAACTCAATCCAGTCTAGCTGTCTGCAATTTACAACATAAGAAAACAGACATCAGAGAGAAGAAACTTTATACAGAAGCCAGAGTTATAGTTAATGAATGTATTTAATATGTGTGTTCGCTTCTCAGTAAACAAGCACATGCAGGAGATAACAACATTTACTCTCTGTGGGGGTTGTAGCTCAGTGGCAGAGCACATGTGTCCAAAACCTTGGGTTCCTTTCTCACTACCAAAAAAAGAAACCCCAAAACATTATTCTCAGCTAGCATGAAGAAAAAACCTAACATTCTCTCAATCATTAAAAGGTCTGGGGGCTGGCAGAGTGGTTCAAGTGGTAGGGCACCTGTGAGGCCCTGAGTTCAAACCACCAGTACTGTGTCCCCCAGCCCCTAAAAAAGATTAAGGGTTAGACATGTAGCTCAGTGGTAGAGCAGGTGTTTGGCCCAGTTCGATCTTTAGCACCACACACACAAAAAATCTTGTGACAGAAATACTTTTACTTTTACTTCATGTTTCATATTTTCAGAAGGGGTTACCATATAACTCTGGGAAATAGATTAATAGAATCAACAGGTGATAAGGAAACCCGGAGAAAGATCGAAGCCAGGGAAAGGTTCAAAGACGAGTAAAGTCCTTCCCCCTTGCCGGGGTCCCTACATCCAGCTATCTCCGTAGAAACTGTGGATGGCCTTCGTGCACAGCTGTGCTGACATGATATATTGTAACCTTGAAACACTAACTGCCAAGTCTGCTTCTGTACTCCCTGCTTGCTTGCTGCCGCCTTTCTGGATATAAAAACCCCAACCACCTATTTTGGAGCACTATTTTGGAGATATCCAGGTGCTGGCCCGCTAGCATAATAAACTTCCTTTCCTCCATCCACCTGGGTTTGAGTCTTGTTCTTGCTGGTCTGGTGATTTCCCGCAACAGGTGCTTCTGAGATTCTACAGAGCAAAGCTGGGAGAGATTAGGACGATGCAGCAGGTTGGCCTCATGTTTATATACTGGTTGTTCCCTGTCACCCATGATCTGCTGCCACTGTGGCTGGACCATTCACACTGAATCAGTCCTGGTATTATCCTGGTTTTTTTTTTTTTTTTTCCTAAATTCTGAAATGAGAGCAACAAAGTTCAAATCAAAATTATAAAGTATGTTTCCAAAACCCTTCCAGCTCTTATGCTAACTTGGACTAAGGCTATGTAAGTCTTGATTCCTTATTTCAACAACTTAAGCATAAACAAACATCTTACTTTCTGCAGGCAGGGGTGTGTGTTGGGGTAAAGTTCATGCTGTCTTATTCACACCTATCAAATACAAAAAAATTCATAATGGGGGCCAGGAAGGGAGGTGGAGAACAAAAAACAAAACAGTATGGTGGTACAGACTGTTTCCCTCTCTAGGATTCTGATATTTGTCTCCTGAATGAGGTAAGACCACATTCTCCTGAATGTAATGTTTTTAAGTATGTATTCTTTAAAGTAGCTTTAAGTCCTGAAGTTTCATGCCTTTTCTTTCTTTCATTTTTTGCTTCTGGCGGTACTGGAGTTGAGTTGAGCACATCGAGCTTGCTAGGGAGGCGCTCTACCCCTTGCGTGCCCCAGTCACTTTAGAACACCGCACCTTCAGTTCCCTTTGCCTAAGATGTTCTTTCCTCATCTATCTGCATGGCTTGCTTCCTCTTCTTCAGAACTTAAAAGTCACCTTCTCTTTGTCAGTACTCGGGTTTAAATTCAGGACCTCCTAGGCAGGTGCTCTAGGCCATGCCCCCATCCTTTTTTGTTTGTTATTTTTCAAGGCTGGCTGGGATCTTGGTCCTCCTATAGTCCTCCAGTTTAGGCTTCCTGCATAGTTAGAATGACAGGTGTGTGCCACCAGCTTTTATTGGTTGAGATGGGGGGGGAGTGTCCCATGACTTTTTGCTCTAGCTGGACTTGAACCTTGATCCTCCCAATCTCTTACTTCCTGAGTAGCTAGGATTACAGGCATGAGCCACTGTGCCCAGCTAAATGTCACATTCTTAATGAAGTCTTCCCTGACCATACTAGCACTTCTTCATCTACCTTCTCTGCTTTACTCTTCCTCATACCCTTACCACCATCTGATGTATTTTATTTAATTACTGCCTCTCTCCTCACATCGGAATGTGCAAACTCATTACAGGCAGGGATTATTTACTGTGTTTACTACCATAGCCCAGTAACTAAAATGGTGCCTAGCTTCTACTAGATGCTCAGTAAATACTTAATAAATATATCTTTTTAAAAATCTTCAATATCAATTTAAAAGACTATTAAACATCCTTTCCTTCTACTGGTCATTCTATTCAATCTAGGTGAAAAAAAAAGAAACTGTTCTTTTTTTTTTCATTCCATTGGCTTTTTTCTATAGGAATCCCTTCAAATACGTCGCCTCTCTTTTCCTAATTCTCTCCTTTAAAATGATTACTCTCCTTCACACTCACCTCTTTCCACAAACTTCTCAAATGGGGTCAGTTTGCTTCTTGTCAAAAACAACCTAGAAAATTAAAAAGGTTACTGGATTGAAATGGTAGTATGATTACTGGTAATACCTTTTGTTTTTAAATTGATTTATGGTAGTGCATGGCTGTAATCACAGCATTAGAGATGTAGAGACAGGAGAATCCTAAGTTTGAGGAAAGCCAGGGGGACCCTGTCTCAAAAAACAGAAAACAGATGGGCACTGGTGACTCACGCCTGTAATCCTAGCTATTCAGGAGACAGAGATCAGGAAGATCAAGATTTGAAGCCAGTCTAAGCAGATAGCTGGCAAGACCTTATCTCAAAAAAATCCCAATCACAATAAAAGGGCTGGTGGAGTGGCACAAGGTGCAGGCCCGGAGTTCAAACCCCAGTATCGCAAAACAAACAAACAAACAGAAAACAAACAAAAAGCTTTATGCAAATACAGTTCATCTAGACCATATATTTACTCATTTAAAATGTACAATGCAATGATTTTATTTATTTATTTATTTATTTACTTATTTTTGCAGCACTGGGGTTTGAACTCAGGGCTTCACATTTGCTAGTCAGGTGCTCTACCAGTTGAGCCACTCTGCTTCAATGATTTTTAATATAGTCAAGATATATGCTATTATTATCACAGTGAATTCTGAAACATTTTCATCACTTCAAGACTTCACATAGCTATCTGCCTTGTGCCTCACTCTTCACCTGCAGCCCTACGTAACCACTAACCTACTTTCTAACTCTACAGATCTCCCCATTCTGCACTTTCCTATGAATAATATACAGTACATGGTCTTCTGGGATTGGCTTATTTCATTCAGCATAAGAGTTTTCAAGGTTAATCTATGCTGTACTTTCTATCAGCCTTTACTTCCTGGCTGAATAATATTCCACTATATGAATACAAGAGACATCTTAAAGCTTAATTTCATGTTTTAAAACTATTTAAAAGGCTGGCAGAGTGGCTCATGTGGTAGTGTCTGCCTAGCAAGCCTAAGGCTGAGTTGGAACCCCAGTACTACCAAAAAACCAAAAAACAAAAACTATTTAAAGAGTAATCTGGAACTTTAAAAGTCTTCTAACAACATACAACTTCTCTTCTCCTTCACAGTGACTGCCTTCATTCCTCCTTCCTAAAACTATTGTGTATCTACCTGAAGCTGTCTACCCTCACCTCTTATTTAGTTTTGTTGTTGTTTTGTTTTGTTTGGCAGTCCTGGGGTTTGAACTCCAGGCCTCACACTTCCTGCTAGGTATGTGCTCTACCACTAGAGCCACTCTGCCAGCCCTTTGTTGTTGTTGTTGTTGTTGTTTTTTTAAGACAGGACATCACTATGTTGCACAGGTTGGCCTCAAACTCCAGGGCCAATCGATCTTCCCATCTTGGCCTCCCAAGTAGCTGGTACTGCAGGCCCATGCTACCATGCTCAGTTCTCATTTAGTTTTATAATCCCTAACAATCTAACTTCTACTACACCATCTGAACTCAAGCTGGTCTTCTTGGTGAGCAGACATCCAAATTAATAAAACTCTCTTGCTCTTTTCAGTTCCCATCCTCATTTTCCAGTAACTCCTTGACTTGTAAGTTCAAATTAACAGTGCCAACTACCCTTTCTAAAAATATTGCTTTGTAGTTGAGTGTGGGCTTCAAAATCAAACAGACTTCAGTCTGTATTACAGCTCTTCCCCTTATTAGGGACACCTAAGACAAGCGATCTTCCCTAAACTTGTTATTTGTATGTCATAGGTTGGGTTAAGGATTAAATGAAATACTGAAGAGAAAGGCTGAGCACAATGTTTGACATGTAAACAGTCAATATAGACTACTATTATTATTAAAAATTTATTCCTTGGTGCAAAAGGTTCTGTCTTCAACTCTCTTTACTATTTCCTTTGTTCATTTCTTTTGGGAATCATTGTTCCTATTTTGCTATTACAATTCTATCATCTAAAACCTGAGTTGACTTAGAATAATTAACAACTAGATATTGAATGAATAAATGATGACCTCATGATTTGAATCCCAATTATGTACTGGACATTTTCACTTGTATGTCCACGTTGCACTGGAGCTTGAAATATCTAACTTAAAGAAATAATTCCGTTAGGGGCATGGTTCAAGTGGCAGAGGCCTGACTAGCAATCATGAGGCCGAGTTCAAGCCCCCATACCACAAAAGAAAAAAAAAAAAAAAAGAAATCACTCATAGTTGAGCATGGTAGCATTCGCCTGTAATTCCAGTTACTTGGGAAGCTGTGGCAGGAGAATCTTAAATTTGAGGCCAACATGTACAATATAGCAAAACCCTGTCTTAAAAAAAAAAAAAACTGCAACAGCAAAACAAAGAAAGAAATCATTGGGTTGCTGGGATTAGCTCAGTGATAGAGCATTTGCCTAGCATGGATAAGGTCCTGGCTTAGATCCCCAAGATAGTAAGGGGAAAAAAAAACCCAAAACCTAAAACCAAAAAAACCTTGAGTTACATATGAGCTGGTGGAGTGGCTCAAATGGTAGAGTGCCTGCATTGCAAGCATGAGTCCCTGAGTTCAAACCCCAGTACTGCCAAAAAAAAAAGTGCTTTAAATTACATATTAATTTCTCAAAGTGACCATTTCCTAAACTTAATACATGGTCCTTTTCAACCAAACACCCCTTTTTGACTTTCCTATTTGAGTTACTAATTCAGCATTTCCCAGCGTACTGGACTTGGCAATTTAAATCCACCATTTGATTTCTCAATATTTTTTCTCTCTCTCTTTCTGACATGGTCTTGATATGTTATCCTGGCTGGCCTCAAACTTGGACTCAAGTGACTCTCCTGCCTCAGCCTCCCAAGTATTTGGTACAACAAGTGTGCCACCATCCCACTCAGCTACTCCTTCTCTGGAACCTACCATCCAACCACATAAAACCTTGTATATTTTATCTTCACAAAAACCATGTTAAATGCAGAATCTCAATACCTTCTTACCTGGGTCACTACCACAGCTTAACTATTCTATCCACCCCTTATGTCTTCTGGACTCTTTTCCTAAAAATCATAAAACAATATGTGGATCCTATAGCCTAGAGCATTAAATCAAACTCCTTAGCCTAGAATTCACAGCTTTTTATGTTAGGGCCAAACCTGTCTCTGCTGCCTGATTTCCCTACATTGCCCTAAACCCACCCTCTGTTTCTAGATAACTTTGTTCACAAACTTCTAGGCAGCTGAAACACAGCTCCTCCACAACCCTCTAAAATTTCACTTAATGGACTCTATACATGAAAATTCAAATACTATCTCCTTCATCTCTGAGTTTCACCATCCAAAATGATCTAACTGAAAAAAGAACTGCCCTTGCAATTCTCTAAAACACAGCTAAAGTTCTCTGATGGCAAAGTGTGTTCCCTGCAGACAAGAAGCCCAGTCTTACTCACCATTGCACTCCCCAAAAGAATAATGCCCTGGTTTATACACAAATTAATCGGTTTCTTTTTCTTTTCTTTGGCGGTCAACCCATGGTCTCGAGCAAGCGCTCTGCCACTGAGTCACATCCCCAGTCCAAAACGTACTATTTTGTTTATTCCCAGAACAACTCTAGGAAGTATTTTCATTATCCCTTATTTTGCAAATGAGGAAATTGAGTCTTAGATTAGAGGGAGTGAAGGAACACCGAGAACCCATCGCCAGGATGTTCAAATGCCCTGATCCTTTTTCCACTTTATCCGGTTCTTGACAACCCAAGGCCTCCGGGGCCCCGAGATCTCCCTTCGAAGATTCTAACTTTCCTCTTCCGTCGCCCCCCTCCCCCTAGGTTCAGGCTTACGTTCCTCCTTTTACTGCTTACGCGCTTACTTTTCCCGCAATAGACTTTCTTCCCAGCGTCTCTTCCCCAAAACTCCTTCCCCTAAACCCGAAACCCCATACTCACGACTCATTAACCCTCGGTGTCAGAGAACTCAACCGAAAAACAAAAGTTAAACAAGGGAGCGTTGCGGCGCCACTGAGCGTCCAAGAATCTGTCCAGTCGCTTACGAGCTTACACGGCCGTTTGGATTGTGCACCAATAGGAAAGTTGCTCACACAGAAGCACTTCCCATCTCACCTTGCGCTCGCCGCGCAGTGGCCACCGGGAAGTGTAGTTTTTCTTCTATACGTAGTATTGCGCGGTGGATAGTGCCGATGACAGACCTGGCTCTTCCCTGCCAGAATTTTAAAGTTCGCTTTTAACTACTTTGCTTTTATGAAAGATATTGCAGAAATGGGCTGCATAATCATGGAGTGGATCGCAGGAGTACTTCAGCCTGTCTTGGGACATACTGTTACATGGTGTGACCCACAAGCTTGTCGCAAGTGAAGATTCTAAGAAAACAAGTTTCACAAACGTTGATGATCTGGTGGCCAACAGCTAATTCAGGACCTTGAGTTCAATTTCTCCGGTCCAGGGATTATGTATTCAAATACATTGTGTATCCTATAGCTGCCAAGGCTTCCTTTTCCTGGCTTAAATCATAAAAGCAAGTTCAAATCCAGTTACGGCCCCATCTTTACAAAAGAGCAGGTACAAGGGTAGGGTGAAAAGCATTTTAGTTTCAGAATTGCAGGTACTGCTTCGAAAAGCTAGAACTCCTCACTGACCTTAAGGGTATTCTAAATGGAACTTGCCGTTCTCTCCCAACCCTGCATTTTTACTCCTGTGATTTTTCTCTGTAGTATCAAGATTTTCCATCTTGACTCAGCATCTTTTTCTCTTTTTTGTATTTTTTTTTTTTTTTTTGAGTCAGGGTCTCACTATGTAGCCCAGGCTGCCCTAAAACTCACTATCCTCCTAAGGAGAGTGCTAAGATTACAGCTATGCAACAACAGATTTGCCTCATTTAAAAAAAGAAACATCTAAGTTGTGGTAAGCCTATTTCCATACTGGTTCTGAAATACATATCTTCCTATTTATTCCATTAGGGGCCTCATTGGCTCCTACTTGGTCTAGTGGCCCTGGGGTTTGAACTCAGGGCCTCACACTTGCTAGGCAGGCACTCTTAGCACTTGAGCCACACCACCAACTCTTATTTTTTTTTGTGATGGGTTTTTTTCAAGATAGGGTCTTGCAAACTGTTTGTCTCGGGTTGGCTTTGAACTGCGATCTTCCTGATTTCTGCCTCCCAAATGGCTAAGATTACAGGTATGAGCCATCGGGGCTGGCTACAATAGGCTTCTGATTGGTGCTTTTGCCTCCAGTTTTTTTCCTTTTCCATCCATTTTATAAAAGGTGATTTCCAAAAATTTGTTATTAATTTTTCTTGGTGCTGGGGATGGATCCCAGGGCTTCATGCATGCTAGGCCCCCAAAACACCACAGCCCCCAAAACATGACTTTTAAAAAAGCGCAGTTTTGCTTGTGTTACACTCCTTATCATAAACATTTTGACTCCCCCAGACAAGAAATTGACGTTCATATATAATATGGCAAAGACTGCCCCCAACTGACTCTTCTTGTCTCTATTCTACAGTTGCCGGTCATTTCCTGAGTGTAGTGTGTCCATCCACACTTAGCTCACATTTTTTTTCCTCTTATCTGAGTTGATCCTTTCTGTGAATCTTCCATAAAATTCTTAGCAAGGTCAACTCAAATACTATCCCTTCTATAAAGTCATGACTTAGCTCCCTCACTGAAAGTACTCCTTTCTGATTGGATATCCATTTGGCAATCTGGGGCTAAAACCACTCTCCTGTTTCCACTTCCTGAGTAGCTGGACAGCTTCAGCCATCTAAAATAGTAGGTGCTTATTTGCTTGTGCTAATTATCTTTTCTTTGCTCCCCACTAGAACGTAAGCTGTATGAGAATACAAAGTTTGTTCAGTGTTGTTGTTGTTTGTTGCCACTCATCCAACATCTGCCTGGCAATAAGTGCTTAATAGATGTTGTTGAGTGGATGTGGGACTCCTAGATGTATACTGCCTCCCCTATTAGATTGCTCTTCTTCCTTTTTGCATCTGGGCTAATGCATTATTGTTCATCAAAATTCCAAAGGGTCATTCTCCGTCCATTCATCTATCCATTACCTAACATCTGATTGATTGTTTAAAAAAATTACAGGTGGTTAAGTATCAATTGAGAACAATTCAGAAGATCTGTAAAGGATACAATGACATTGTATTAGGGAAAGGCCTAAACAAGAGCAGTAATGATGGAAATATGAAGAGAAAAATGGTAAATAAGAGTTCTAATTGATTGGATCTAGGACAGGGAAGCTAGATGGACCAAATAACATTAATCCAAATGGACAACAGGAGGGACATGTTTGGAGGTTATGAGAAGAGCAGCCTGATGAACACTAACTGGATATATGATCCCTTCTGGGAGTTTTATTTCCCTATTCAGCTTAGTACTGTAGTGTATCTCATTGACTGTTCTTGCTAGTGCCCTCACCTCTTACTCTTTTTTTCTTGTAACTGTGATGGTAACTCCTATACTCTACATTAGTTTTTCCATCTTCCCACTGTTTGTGCTGCTGGAGAACGTCTCACATTTATTGGAAATAATATCACTTTCCAAAACTGACCTCTATAAAAGTATCTGTGGTAAGGAGATTATTTATAAAGTCTAAAAATTTTTATTAGCATTCATTAATTGTACAAAGGTGTTTCACTGTGATATTTACATGCATGCAAATAATGTACTTTGATCAAATTCATCACATATACATTACTATAAAGTCTTTAAAACAAATTTGAGCCAGGCACAGGTGGCTTACGCCTATAATCCTAGTTACTTAGGAGGATCAAGTTTCAAAACCTGGGCAAATAGTTCCACGAGACCCTATCTTGAAAAAACCTTTCACAAAAAAGGGCTGGTGGAGTGGTTCAAGGTGTAGGCCCTGAGTTCAAGCTCCAGTACCACAAAAAAATTGGGCAAATCTAAACCAATAATGACTCATTATGACTACTCCCAAGTAGCTAGGATTACAAGAGTGAGCCACCAGTGCCTGACTCAAACACCACCTTTAAGTAACACTATTCTATCCTGGTGTGGTGGGGCATGCCTGTAATCCCAGAACTCAAGACACTGAAGCAGGAGGATCTGGAGTTCAAGATGAGATTGGTCTACATATCAAATTCCAGGCTAACCTGGGCTACATGGTGAGACTCTGTCTCAAAACTCAAAAACTACAACTATACTTACTATTCCTAGAGATAACAAAAGCATTTCACATTCATGTATGCAGAGTCCCCTAATAGAATCTAATAATACACAACTTTTGGATCTTTATAGCAGTGATTCTCAAAGGGATGATGGTTGGGTTCATCTACCCTCCATGAGGAGAACATCAGAATCTGAGGGGAGTGAAGTTGGAGATTTTTCCATTCCCCAGATAATCACTGCCCTTCTCCTACAGGCTTACTGCTTCTGTAAGAACCAGACATAGATTTCTCAGGAGTAGTGTGGCAAATGAAAATGAATGGGGATTAGATAGGAGGTGTGGCTCAAGCAGGAGAATACCTGCTTGGCAAGTGTGAAGCCCTGGTTCATACCCCAATCCCACCAAAAAAAAAAATATTGAGAACCATTACTCTATGATTCTATATTCCACAGTATACTTCAAATAAGCTAAGTGTAACTTGAATAAGGAATAGATAAGACCAATCAAAGCTTCTAGGAGTTTGTGCTTATACTAGGGGTCTATCAGAGTCTCACTCTTCAATTCTAAAGCAGAGCCATTGTATTTTAATTGAATGTTTGATGAAATAAATCATCTTGGAGATTGGTTTTACTCCATTCCTTCTCCCTTTTTTTCTGAATAATATTGTTTTTCAGATAAGTAGTAAAAAATGTAAGACTTATTATAAATTATTATAATCACATGGAATGACTCATGCCTCCCTGAGTCCACACCTCTTTACTGTGCTACTTTGTCACTCTTCCCATCAATATATAACTAGGCTGGAGGTATAACTCAGTGGTACTGCATTTGGCTAGCATTTACATGGCCTTTGGTTCCATCCTTAGGACTGCAAAAATAAATGAATAAATAAAATGGAGTATATTGCACCCTTCTAAATCTGGACTAGTCTTTTTGAGGGGTAGGTGGTATTGGGGTTTGAACTCAGGGCCTCATGCTTGCTAGGCAGGTGCTCTACCACTTGAGCCATTCCACCAGTCCACCTGATCTTTTTTGGTTGGGTATTTTTTTTCTTTTTTTGTGGTACTAGGGTTTGAACTCAGGGCCTACACCTTGAGCTACTTTCCCAGCCCTTTTTTGTGATGGGTTTTTTCAAAATAGGGTCTCACAAACTATTTGCCCGGGCTGGCTTCAAACTGCGATCCTCCTGATCTCTGCCTTCTGAGTAGCTAGGATTACAGGCTTAGACTAGTTTTTTGACATGCTTTGACCAACAGAATATGAGTGATTTCCTAACTTTGGAGCCTAGGTGTTGGGCTTCTGCCTCCAGTCTTATCCTATCGGAGCTGAAGACTACCATGTTGTAAAAAGCCTAGTTTACTATACTGAAATGAGAAGCTGTAATCAAACAGAGGGGTAGTTTGGCTTTCCAGACAACAGCCAGCACCAATTGCCAGACACATGAGTGAGACTATTTAGACTCTCCAGCCTGAATTATATTAATCAGGGTTCTCCAGAGAAGCCAATAGGCTGCAGACAGACAGGCAGGCAGACAGGTAAGCAGGCAAATAGCTAACTTTTTAAGGAACTGATATACAAGATTATAGAGACTGCCAAGTCCAAAATCTGCAAGGGGGTTGGCAGGCTGAAGACCAAGAAAAAGCTGATGCCGAAGCTCAAGTCTGAAGGCTGGGAAGATTTCTTTGTGCCCCAGGGGTTAATGTTTTGTTCTATTGAGTCCTTTGGTTGGTCAGATGGAGCCCGCTTACTTCATGAATGTCAACCTGCTTTACTCAAAGTCCACTGATTTAAATGTTAATCTTATCCCAAAACACCCTAACAGAAACATCTAGAATGTTTGACCACATATCTAGGAACTATGGCTCAGCCAAACTGACATACAAAATTAACCATCACACTAGTCAAACTATCAGTCAGCCCCCAAGAGAGGCTATGAGAACATTGGTTTACCACAGGCAGACTTGTAATAGATCATTTTTATTTTCAGTCACTAAGTTTTGAGGTTTTTTTTTTTTTTACACAATGAAAGGTAACTGAATTAGAATTTTCCCCTCAAAACATTTGTGCTTGGGATTTAGGCTGGTAAGTATGAGTAACTGAGTATTAGCGTTTGTGGATGCTATAATGATGTCACTCATGGTACAGTCTTAAAATTTGGTATATGCAAAGGTAGGATAAGGTACAGAAATACATGGAAAGTTGGTTTGTGGAATCCTGTTTATTTTTGGTGATAGTGGGGTTTGAACTCGGGGCTTCATGGTTGCTAGGCAAGTGCTCTACCACTTGAGCCATGCCTCATCTTTTCTTCTGTGGCTATTTTTAATTAAAGTCTCTAATTTTTTCTGTTAGGGCCTTGGCCTAGGCAAAAATGACCATAATATTTCTATTTATGCCTTCCTCATAGCTGGCATTACATGTGTGAGCTACCATGTGTCTGGCCCTGTTTATTTTTTATTGGGTGAATTTATCCATTCATTTAACATGTACTTATTGCACACCTTCTTACACCAAGATTGACTATTTTAGGAGCTGAGGAAACAAGAGCAAGGTGGAGACCTGCCATTGTGCAGCTTACATTCTGAGGAAGAAAGGCAATTACATAATTTCAAAATGTTTGGCAAAGAAGTCAGGTTGCTGCTGACTACACCAACTTTGAGGATTTGGGAAGACTTTCCAGAGGAAGTGATAATTAATCTGATTAGATGGAGGATGAGTAGGAAGGAGACATGAAATTGTTGAACTAAGATAGGGTCAAGAGAATGTAAAAAGTTGGATCTGAGCCGAGCTCTGGTAGTTCATGCCTGTAATTCAAGCTACTCAGGAGGGAGAGATCAGGGATCAAGGTTCAAAGTAGCCCCAGACAAACAGTTCTCTAGATTCTATTTCAAAAACACCCAACACATAAAAGGGCTGGCAGAGTGTGTCAAGTGGAAGAGCGCCTGCCTAGCAAGTATGCCTAGCCCTGAGTTCAAACCCCAGTACCGCCAAAAATAAATAAATAAAGAAAAGCTGGGTGAGGTGGAGATGGGGGGAAGATTGCAGGTCAAGGCCAGCCCAGGCAAAAAAGACCCCATCTCAGTCAATAAAAGCTGAAAAGCTGGGTATGGTGGCATGTACCTGTTATCCCAGCTACATGTACATGGGGAGCATAAATAGGAAGGGCCTGGTTCAGGTAGGCCTGGCAAAAACATGGGCCCCTATCCCCAAAATACCTAAAAGAACCCTCCCCACCCCCCAAAAAAAAGAGTATAAAAATGTTCCAGAGGAAATAATGCTCAGAGTTAAGGAGAAACATGAGAAACATGGTGCATTAAAACCAGTATGAAAATTTCTACAGATTATATGGAGAAGCAAGGCAACATAATAAAAAAGGAGTTTGGAAATGAAAAGTAGTAATAGATGAAGCTCCAATAGGCAGCAAATAATAGTGAAGAAGTTTGGAGATGAAAAACAACAAATCCTGTGTTTCAGGCAAAGGAATCCAACTATATAATGAAGGAAGAGGGAAAAGGAATTGAGCTGTGAGCCTAGTTACATTAGGATTGTTGTAATGAGGGTGGAGACATGGATAGTTTTAAGATTTTTAGGTGACCTGACTGGACACAACTGTATATGAGAAGTAAGGGAGCAGAATGATTTAGGATTATTTCTGTTTGCTCAGGCAATTGAGTGATGAGTTTGAAGGATTCTCATTTAGTCAAGTGGAGTTGTCCAGTTGGTAGCTAAATGTACTGTCTCATAGTTCAGGTGCTAGCTCTAGGCTGGAAATACAGATGTGGGAGTCATCAGCCTAAAGTTGGCATTTCAGATCTGGTGGTGACTGAAATTTCTTGGGGGAGTAACTCTTATTTGAAAATCGGACAAAGAAAAAAGTGTTTTTTTCTTTTTTTTTTGAGTCAGGGTCTCACTATACAGTCAACGCTAGCCTTAAACTCTCCATCCTTCTGTCTCAGTCTCCTAGAGCTGGGATTACAGACTGTATTACCACGCCCAGTGAAGAATGTTTCCTTCCATATTAATCCTTCGCACTCCTCTTTCATAGTTTCGTCTTTGTTTCTCTTCTCCTTTTGGAGGAAGAGAGAGAAAGACACTGGAATAGAAGGTTTTTGGTTTTTTTGATAAAGATGTTCAGTTACCATAGCTTTCATAGCAAAACGAAAGCCACGTTAACACAGCAGGTGGTGCCAGAAGCTGGTTGATGTTAAAATAAGATGATTTGGGGCTAGTTGCTAATTGCTGGAAACGCAAGGTCAAGAGCTGTTGTTTCTTGGATGGACGAAAAGCAATTTATAGCTGGTGGCTAGAGCCGTCTTTGCAGGATTAGAATGGGTCTGGTTCCAATTTGTCTTGGAGAGGAGTGTCACTATAACACTAGACACCAAAGGACCAAACATGAGACACAGAGTATAATGTTGGAAGGGTTACTTAATTGCTCAAACTCAGACAAGTAGGTTAAAAGAAGTCCGGATCGGGAGCTGGAGGTCGGCCCCGAGGGTTTTCAGAGTCATGAATACACAAAGGGGAAGCGAGGGCCTCCCTACCGGAAGCAGAACCTCCCCACCGGAAGCAGAACCTCTGCCTTCTGGGGCATTACACATTCCTCCGCGCCGGAAAAGCGCGTTCCGCCTCGCCGCGACTGCGTCCTCCACCCTTGCCGCACCTCGGAGACAGATCGTGGGGCTTTCAGAGCTCACCCTCCTGGAGTGGTCGGACCGCGCAGGACTTTGGAGGGCAAGAGAAAAAGCGGCACGTGCTGCCGAGAAAGGGAGGAAGGAGGAAAGCGTCGGACAAGACGGCGTCGCGGCGGTGGGATTCTGTTTCCTGCGGTGGCGGAGGGATTTGACAGTACGGTAATTTCCGGAAGAGTCCTGGCTGGGAGAGGAAAAGCCCTGAAGGAAACAATAACAAACGACAGGAGGAAGCGATTCTGGACTTTCTGTGTCCGACAGTTCTCGCCCGAGAAGATGCGCTTCGGCCCCTGTTGGGGGACGTGAAAGGGCGCGGTGGGCCTCAGCCAGCTGTTCTCCACCTGTTTCCTCGCGGGGCCTCCCGGCTACTACCATGGCGGGCGTGGGACCGGGGGGCTACGCGGCGGAGTTCGTGCCACCTCCGGAGTGCCCGGTCTTTGAGCCCAGCTGGGAGGAGTTCACAGACCCACTCAGCTTCATCGGCCGCATCCGGCCTCTGGCCGAGAAAACCGGCATCTGCAAAATCCGACCACCCAAGGTACCGGAGCCCGAGGGAAGGGCAGGGGGGGGGTGTCGTTGCACTTGGTGTCCTTTGCTTCAGAGGTCTCGGGTCTTCGGTGTAGACGCCCCTCATTTCTCAACGGCCGGAGGCTACGTGTTGGGGTAGTTTGCCTTGGTTTCTTCTGCAGTCTGATGTCAGCACGTGACATCTCACTGAACGTGAGAAAGCGGTGACTCTGGGACCTTCTCCGCCCTCAGCTTGGGCGCTGGTACTTTTCTCTGGGTTGGGGACAAGGGTGAAGAAAGGCGTCGGGCCTCCCGTCGACCGGCCAGAAGTTGGTAGTGTTAATGACCTGGCATGCCCTTCCCTCGTGTGCCATCCTCACTGTGGTTTCAGAGTAGAAACTGCTCTTCACCAGCTGGTAAAGCTTACTGTATCCAACAGAGTAGGGTTTCTTAAAGAGGTAATCGGAGCTCTCGTGGTTCCCCAGGATGGTAGCACTAGACGAGAGTGCCAAGCTAATTACTGCTGCAGTGAGAAAGCCTTCCCTGGGGAAGACAAAGAACATCAATTATTTTTAAAGTTTGGAGGTTAATGAAGAATGGGTCAGTAATGGAGACGGAAGGAAACGTTGAAATCTCTTGATAGGATGAACTAAGGAGCAAAGATTTCAGAGTTTTAATTATTGCGAATAATTAGGTTTGCCTATAGGTTGGTTAGTTATCTTTAAGGTTAGGAAACCAGTTAGTACTCCTAAATGAGAGAAATTAATGCCATAAGAGGTCGAGTGATAGGCTCAAGGTCAAAAGATTTTTTTCTTTAAGCACTGGACTAGGACTTTTCAAATCTTGTTGCTGGACAGTCTGTACCACAGTCAACGGAACGTTTGTTAAAATGCAGACCCTTAGGCCTTGTTAGTAATAGAAATAATTTCTGAATGTGGAAGTTCTGGATTCTGTTTTTCTGTTCTAGCAAGTACTCAAATGATTCTTTTTTCCTCTTGAGGTGGGTTCTTGCTATGTAGCTCAGGGCTGGTTTTGAACTTGTGATCCTCCTGCCTCATCCTCCGAGTGCTGGGATTACAGGTGTGCACCAAAATGCCTGGCTTTGGATGATTTTGTTTGTTTGTTTTTTGTTGGGACTGGCTCCACCCGCTTGAGCCATACCTCCAGTCCATTTTGCTCTGGTTATTTTAGAGATGGGGTCTCATGAACTATTTCCCTGGCTGCCTTGAACCGAAATCCTCCTGATTCCAGCCTCCCAAGTAACTAGCATTACACCGGTGCCCAGCTCACGTAATTCTTTTTTTTTTTTTTTTTTGGTCTTAGATAATTCTTTATGCAACTTAAAGTCTCAGACTAAACCTTTGCCTTACGCATTACTTCTTAAAGACGTTTTGCTTTAAGTTTTGTTTAGGAATAGCAAAGATAAAAACTATTATTGTTACATTTTAAAAAGCATCTATCCTTATCAGATTACTACAGTAATATACAGTAGAGTGAATTAAAAGCTTAGATGGGAGGGCAGAGGAAGAGTTGATTAGCATCTATAAATTATCTTTGAATACGAAGATAAAGTTCTCATTTTACAGATTGAGGGGAATCTGGATAAGGTAAATACTAGCCAAATGTGTGATCTTGGGCAAGTGGCAAAGTAGATTTTGAACCTTGATCAATTTTTCTATTTCTAAAATAGATGTGCTACTTCCCACTATGCTGAATGCTGTCATGAGTGAATGTGTTGAATGCCTTTAAGATTATAGATTACTAGTTGCAAGCAAAGCATTAAATAAATTGCTGTGGTAGTGTGTATTGCCATTCTCAAAGAACTTCTACTTAACTCCTCTATCAAAATTGCCTAATATTGACAACATTTTAAGCATTGAAGATTTTCTGAAACTATGTTTTCATCTACCTCTATTGCAATTACTTGTTAGAAATTTTATTCAGCATTCCTTTTGGTTAAAAAAATGTTTAGGCTTTTATTACCTTTTTTTTTTTTTTGAGACAGGGTTTCAGTGTGTAACACAGGCTGGCTTCAAACAGGCAATCCTCCTGACTCAGTTTCTCCAGTGCTGGGAGTATAAGCATGCAAAACCATGTCTGGTTTGTTTTTATTACTTAAAGCTGAAGTAATAATATTCTCTTCATATGTTACATTATTATTAAAGATAAATTTGATAGGATGACTCTAACTAAGGTATATTGAAAGCACATGTGTAAATGTCACAATGCATCCTCCCTGTACAAGAAAAAAGGAAAAGAAAATAAATCTTGCAAGTAATTAATTTTAATATTGGTAGATTTTTTTTTTTTTTTAGTTTCCAAGGTAAAATACGTTTTTGGATTACTTCTCATGTCTCTAAGTAGGTTTATTACTATTTAGGTCAAATTAAACTATGTTCCCTGGAACCCCACTTGAAATACGTGATCTCATTTTATTTATATCACAATTTGGAACTGTGTTCTGTGGTTTTGCTTAATTTAAAACAAAAAATTTGGATCGCTTCTCGGCCTTTTGGCTAAGATCAAGTGTAGTATCTGTTCTTATCAGTTTAATATCTGATATGTCCTCTATCCTAGGGCAATATATTAAATGGGTTTTTGGAAACAGGAGATGGAATAGGAGCTTGCTCAGTACACTGCAGTACTTCCAGGAATGGCGCACAAAAGAAAAAAAAAATTTGGGTGCTCAGATGCTGGGCTTCAAACAAAACATTTGTATAACACAGACTGTAAAATACGTATATTTACATATACATAAAAATTACCTAAATACATAAATAATTTTTAAAATTTTCTTTTTAACCTTCACTTTTACCCTTTTTAATTTTTTTCTTTCTATTTGGTAAACCTGTATGTTTTCTGGACACTTGACTCATTGCATTCTGCTTGAATAACTTTGGAAAGCATAATTGTGGAATGTGAATAGTGGGGCTAGTGAGATTTGATGATTGCTTCTCTAAGTAGCAGTAAAATGGAAACTCTTTATTTAAAAGTATTAGTCTTTCTGTCTCTACAGCGAAAATTTATATGCTAATCTGTTGTTGTTATGATTTTTACTCCTTAAATTGCAGGACTAATAAAGTACTCCTTGGTTATATAAAAAATTCTTTCCATTTAGGATTGGCAACCTCCATTTGCATGCGAAGTAAAAACCTTTCGTTTCACTCCAAGAGTTCAGCGTCTGAATGAACTTGAGGTGAGTGTTATGTCACCATTTCCTGATTTTTCTTATTAAATTTTTTTTTGTGGTGTTTGAACGCAAGGCCTCATACAGGTTAAGCAAATCTTTTACCACTGAGCTACAACTCCAGTCCAGCCTCCTGATTGTTTATGTTAGGGCTCTAGTCAGGAAACTGAGAAGCTCATGTACCACAGGCCAGAGTTTGTGTTAATTGGGATTGAATAGAATAGTTACTTGATATTTGTAAGAAGTCAGTGATTTTTAAAAGATTGTTTAAAGTACTTACTACGGTTTTCCCACTTAACTGAAATTATAGGGAACTGTCTCTGGCCATGTTTTATAGTGGAAATAAACAGTGCTTAGCCTCAGAGACTTAAAATTCTTACATTCCCAATCTCTTTGGTGTTTATTATTCTACTAAACTTTTTGGTTAGTCTCAGATTGACTTTTGTCTCTTGTGGTTCTTGGAAAACAGGTTTTAAAATTCTGTTAAAAAATGAGTTTGGAAAGTTATTTTTTAAACAGAACTTAAGTTTGTTAAGACCTCCCTTTAAATAGTACTAATTTCTCCTGGTCTCAGGTGTAGGTCTGGTAGAGTGAGTATTGAGCATATTCAAAGCCTTGGGTTCAATCCTCAGACATAAGAAACTCACCAATTTTTCTAAAGTGAAATCTGCTTAAATATTACTGTTTGTTTGTTTTTTTCCTTCTGCCAGATTTTCAGAAGATTCTTCAGAATGGTATGAAAACTATTTCAGAGTACAAAAGGGAAATACTTGATAGCTAAGGTTTATTTAATTTTTTCTTTTCCCCTTTTTCTTTTGTGGTACTGGGGATTGAATCCAGGGCCTCACACATGCTAGGCAAGTGTTCTACCACTGAGCTCCAACCCCACCTATGCTGAAGCCCTCCTAAACTATTTATTTTCTGAGATTTTAATATGTATTTTTCTATTAGTCTCTTATGATTAGGTACTTAATGAAGTATATTAATATCAATGAGATAGAGTTGATACGTCTGAAGTATTTGTATTACCTACAGATGAAATGACAGAATTAGAATGTTTAGAGATTGGGAATAGTTTAATTTCCTAAATTTTCTGGTTAGCACAAGGCTAAGCCAACTTCAAATTCTTTGGTTGCTAACAAGAACTTTTTACATATATTAAAGAAACTTTTTTTTTACCTTGTGAATAAAGATTATTAGAAACATTTTGTCTATTGGGTTTCTTTTTTCAGAGTTAGACTAAGCAATAATGAAGCCTTTGTATTTCTGTAGAGAAATGAGCACCTTTATTATGTAGGACTCATTTATTTTTAGACATAGCAGTTCTTATTTCTGATTTCTGTATTTTAATAATCTTAGGCAATGACCAGAGTGAGATTGGACTTCTTGGATCAACTGGCAAAATTTTGGGAACTTCAGGGATCTACTTTGAAGATCCCCGTAGTGGAGCGAAAAATCCTGGATCTTTATGCTTTGAGCAAGGTGAGGCTTGTACTTGAATTAGAAATTGAGCAAGAGGCTGGGATGTAGGTCAGTGGTGGAGTACGTGCTTAGTGTGTGCCAGTTCCTGGGTCTGAGTGGCAGCACACACACACACACACACACACACACACACACTCAGAGGTTTGTGAATTTATGAGATTTAAGAATTTAAAATAATCTCGGTGAGAAATTGCTTCAAAATAGGATGTGTTTGGCAGTGAAATGCACACATGAGAACAAATGGAAACAACAGAGCTCAGTTATTTTTAAAAGCTGTTCTATAATGTGTTACGATACTGATATTTAGTGACTCACTCAGATTAGTAGGCCGTGTGGTATGCAATATGCAAAAGAAACACCTGTCTACCAGTATTGTTGGGGTGTGCTGAGGGGATAATACCCTATGTGGAGCTTGTCATCGTTTGTTTTTGATGGTACTGTGGGTGGGGCTTGAACTCAAGCCTCATGCTTGCTAAGCAGTCACTCTACTGCTTGAGCCACTCCATCAGCTCTTTTTTGTGTTGGATGTTTTTGAGATAGGGTCTCACGAACTATTTCCTCAGACTGACCTTGAACCTTGAACCTCCTGATCTCTGCCTTCTGAATAGCTAGGATTCAGTTCAGGATTGTGTTTGATGCCCTTTCCTGTTGTAAAAAGTTGTTTTTTGCTGACAAATTGTTAGTACTTACTGAGTTTGTTTTATTGTAACCATGATTTTGAAACAGTGTGATTCCGGCTGCTGTTTTTGGGGGTGTGGGGATAAGAGACAGGGTCTTACTATGTTGCCCAGGCTGGCCCTGAGTTCCTGGGCTCTAGTGATCCTCCTGTCTCAGCTTCCCAAATAGCTGGGACTATGTGCATGTATCAATTCACCTGGCTTCTGCTTTGTTTTATTGAGAAGCACATTTTTCCTTCCGAGTCATTGACTTTTCAGTGTGAATCACTACTTTTCTTTTTTGGTACTGGGGCTTGAACTCAGAACCTATACCTTGAGCTACTCTACCAACCATATTTTTGTGAAGGGTTTTGTGAGATAAGATCACTTGGGGCTATATGTCTGGGCTGGCTTCAAAGTATGATCCTCTTAATCTCTGTGTCTTGAGTAGCTAGGATTACAGGCATGAGCCAGGTACCCGGCTTTTTTTTTTTTTTTCCTCGTACTGGGGCTTGAACTCAGGACTTCATGCTTGCTTGGCAGATACTTTATCACTTGAACCATTCTGCCAGTCCAGGTTTCTTACTTTGATTAAATCAAGTTTGTACTTCCTCTGTATTACTATTTTTGACAATGAAATGTACTACTTTGGAAGGTGTATGATGTAAAATACATCAATAATTGTTGATTATAATCGATTTGGCAAGGAACATTCAGTCTAGCCATTCTTTTAAAAAAAAATTTTTGTGAGAATTTTTTTTTTTTTTTTTGTGGTGCTGAGGCTTGGCAGGTGCTGCACCACTAATTTACTTTATGTCCCCAACCTTTTTTAAAAGTTTTTATTTTTGTTAAAGTAATACTCTTTCACAAAATAAGTCTTAGAATGAAAACTGTCATTCTTTTTCACATAGCTAATTACTTTCAGTTCTGTTAGTTGTTTTTGATCTCTGTTTGGCAATAATAATATTTTTAGTTCTAAGTATTCTAGAATAATTTCCTACTTTTTTTTTTTTTTTCCTTTCAGTATTGGGGATTGAACCCAGAGCCTTGAACTTGTTAGGCAGGCAGTCTACCATTTGCGCTATGCCCCCAGCCATTTTGTTTTTTGAGATAGGCTCTCGATAACTTTTCAGGGGCTGGCCTTGAACTCTTGATTCTCCAGTGTCTGCCTCCAGAGTAGCTGGGATTATAGATCTGGCTCTAATTTCATACTATTAAAGATGAGGAGTGGGTATGAAAAATCTTGAATTTTCCTATACTTTATGTCCCCATCTCCTTTAGTATAGTTAAGAAAATTATTAATTAAAAGTTATTACCATCACTGCAGAAATGTAACTGTTACTTGTATCTGAGCCTGTGGTGCCCTTGATTATGTTTCCTTTTATTATTATTTTACATAAGTTAATAATATACCACCTTTTTGTCATTTTGTAGGTTTTGTTTATAACCATCAAAAGTTTCAGTGCAAGTATGACTCTCATCATGCTTCTATCCAGCAGATAATCTGTCGCTTTTATTTTCTTCTTGGAGCCATTCCTATGGAGTCTTCTTTCCTGCTCCAGTCTAGACCTTTTCTAAGTTTTTGTTTGTTTTGTTTTGTTTTGTTTGGTGGTATTGGGGTTTGAGTCAGGACTTTGTACTTCTAGGCAGGTGCTCTACCACTTGATCCACCCTGCCAACCCTTTTTTGTGTTGGATATTTTTGAGCTAGGGTCTCACAAAGTATTTGCCTGGACTGGCTTCGAACCGTGATCCTTCTGATCTCTACCTACTCAGTAGCTAGGATTACAACTCTGAGCCTGGTGCCAGGCAGGACTGGTTGTTTTTTTAAAGTCAGCTGTTCAGCCTGGTGCTTCCTTTTACCACTTTCATTCTGGAAATTCCCTTTGTCTCTCCTTGTTGAAATCTTCCTTTGGTTTACTCTCTTTATTTTGTTGGAACATTTCTTTGACTAGTTTTATGAGGAAGATAGTATTGGGGTATAAATTTTTTAGGACTCTGCTTGTCTAAAGTGTTCTGACACCTTTCTATTTTATTGGTAGTTTGGTGAGGTTTAGAAGTCTTAAATTGTTAATCATTTTGCTTAAGTATTTTGGAAGCTTTCTTCCATTGTCTTCTAGTTTCCAGTGTTGCTGATGAGGTTATTTTTTTTTTTTTTCCTTTAAAGATTTAGGAACTAATCTTTATTCCCATTGCTCTGAAATTTCACAGTGATTTGCTTTGTGTTTATTTTCATCTCTTACTTTTATGGCCCTCAATAACTTCTTTTTTTTACTGTATGTGTATGGTAATGGGGATTGAACCCAGGGCCTGGAGTGAGCACTAGGCAGCTGCTGTATTACTTGAGCTACCTAGCAGCCGTTTTGTTTGTGTTTTGTTTTTGATATAGTCTTGGTATCTTTACTTAGGCTAACATAGAACTCCAGATCCTCCTGTCTCCCCTCAAGTAGTTGGGAATATAGGCACAGGTGTGTTCTACCACACCTGGCTTCTTAACAACTAATTTGGTATCTCAGTCTTTCAGTTCTTATGACTGGATTGATTCTTTCATACTTTTATCTATTTATTTTTTCTCATGTTTTTTGCCCCTTTTTTTTTTTTGCAGTACTGGCATTTGAACCCAGGGCCTACACCTTGAGCCATTCTGCCAGCCCTTTTTGCACTGGGTATTTTCAAGATAGGGTTTCTCAAACTATTTGCCCGGGCTGGCTTTGAACCAAGATTCTTCTGATCTCTGCCTCCTGAGTAGCTAGGATTACAGATCTGAGCCATCAGCACCTGGCAGAATTCAATCAGGATTTTTTTTTTTTTGGTGATACTGTGGTTTGAACTTAGGGCCTCATGCTTGCTAGGCAGGTATGCTACCAGTTGAGTCACTCCACTGACCCTGTCTTTTATTTATATTAGGTGGATGTTCACTACCTTAGGTTCACCCTCTAATTTATTTAAATCTATAGTCTTCTGGGCTTGCAGAGGAATAGTTGCCTGGTTGTGCTCACTGAAGGAGCTCTAATAGCTTTTGTGCATATTTTCAGCAGTCCTGTTCTCTGCTGCATTACTATTCCCTCAGTTTAGAGGTACTACTGCTTCCAGTTCTTAAGCCTTCCAGAGGATTTGGCAGGTAGTTTTTGAGGTTTTTTTTTTTTCTGTAGGACAGGGTCTTGCTAGGTTTCCTATGCCTAGGCTGGCAATGAACTCGTGATACTCCTGCTTCAGTCTTTAGGTTGGGATTATAGGCATGAACCTTCACACCTGGTTGCATGCATTTTGTGTGTGTGTGTGTGGTGTGTGTGTGTGTGTGTGTGTGTGTGTGTGTGTTTTAGTGCTACTGGAGTTTTAACTCAGGGCCTTGTGTTTACCTTGCAAGGTGTCTAACACTTGTGTCACACCTCAACCCCTCCATGTAGTTACTTATGGGGCGTGGTTTGTAGTGATATCTCTAGTGATAATAGTGTGATATATTTTATGGCATTTGTTTAGAATAAATAGTTTATATTTTAAAATTAGTCATACTCTCAAAAACTGTCTCCGGAAGAAAAGTAATTGCAAAGTTTTGTGTTTTTTTATTTATATATAAAAACAAATATGGGAGGGAGTGGACAAGTGAGAGGGGGAGGCTGGAAAGAGAAGGTGATGAGGGGGTTGGGTATGATCAAAGTACATTGTATCTATGTATGAAAATGCTATAATGAACTCCATTATTGTACAGCTAATGTAATGTATGCAAATAAAAATAAAAAGCTCCCATCAAAACAAAACAAAAATATGTAATAGACCTGGTTATAGTGTTAGAGTATTGTATGCATGAAGCCAAAATCATGGTTTTGATTTCTTTGTGAGATAATTGCTTCCTGTGACATGGCTATATCCTGGCTGTCACTAATCACCAGGGGAACTGGGTTGAAATCATGACTAGATCCAGGTAGGTATAACTTAAATAGTGGAAACAGCTTAAAGTGTTCTGACACAAATTAGATTACATGTGATAGTGATAGTTGTGTGGATAGTACAGACTCCTATTGCCTGCCACTTTCTTTACTGCTTGCTGCTCTTTTCTGTTTATTCGTTTTGCTTTAGCCACCCTGGCTTCCGTTTTGTTCCACAAATACTCCAGGCATGCTTCTAACTTGGGATCTTTGCTCTTGGGTAGTTGTTCCCAAGTTGTTCTCTTCTTGGTTAGCATCTTACCTTCTTTCTCAGGTTTCTTATTTATTTATTTGGTGTCGAGGATTAGAACCCAGGGCCTCCCATATACAAGGCAAGCACTTTACCACTGAGCTATACCCCCAGCATTCAAATTTCATCTTTATAGTGAGGCTTGTCTCGACCATTTCATACTTGAGTTTATTTTTTTATTTTTATTTTTTAAAATTTTTATTTTTTTATTATTCGTATGTGCATAAAATGCTTGGGTCATTTCTCCCCCCCTGCCCCTACCCCCTCCCTTACCACCCACTCCGCCCCCTCCCTCTCCCCCCCCACCCCCTTGATACCCAGCAGAAACTGTTTTGCCCTTATCTCTAATTTTGTTGAAGAGAGCGTATAAGCAATAATAGGAAGGAGTAAGAGTTTTTGCTAGTTGAGATAACGATAGCTATACAGGGAGCTGACTCACATTAATTTCCTGTGCATGTGTGTTACCTTCTAGGTTAATTCTTTTTGATCTAACCTTTTCTCTAGTTCCTGGTCCCCTTCTCCTGTTGGCCTCAGTTGCTTTTAAGGTATCTGCTTTAGTTTCTCTGCGTTGAGGGCAACAAATGCTAGCTAATTTTTTAGGTGTCTTACCTATCCTCATATCTCCCTTGTGCATACTTGAGTTTATTTTTGAGTTTATCTTCATTCTGCTATTTGGGTCTTTGAGTGATTTTCAAGTTCTTCCACAATACTTATTATAACTTCAAAATTTACATATTCATTGAAATGTAAGCACCATGAAGACAGAGGTCTTTGTTCATGGTTACATCCCAAGCACATAGAACAAGCTGGCATAGAAGCACTAGAAAAGATAAATGTGCAATGAAAGGTGCTTTGATCCATCCAGTTACTTCCAGATAGCCTTCTACCTAGAGTATCCTCATCCTGTCTTCTTTACACTTGAGAATTTGAGTGTTTTGGGTTTTTATAGTGCTGGAGATTGAACCCCAGGCCTTGTACATGTTAGGCAAGCTCTCTACCACTGAGCTACATCCTAGCCCCAGAGTTTGAAAAATAATTTTTTTTTCTCTATAATTTTCCTTTAGCTTTTACCAACAGAGAAGGCATCTCTGAGGATAGGAGGAGGTAAAAAATTAAGGAGATGGTACTAGACATGCTGGCAAGTGCCTGTAATCTCAACTGTGGCAGAGGCAGAGGATCATGGTTCAAAGCTAGCCCTGACAAAAAGTTAGCAAGGCCCCCGTCTTAATAAGTGCAGCATGGTGGCACATGCCTCCATCTATGTTTAGAGGCTGTAGATAGGAGGGTGTGTACAGGCCAGCCCGGGGCAAAAAAGCAAGACCCTCCCTAAAAACCTGAACCAAAAGGGAGTGAGGTGTGGCTTAAGAAGCAAAGTGTAAGATCCTGAGTTCAAACCCCAGTACCATCAAAAAAACAAACAGAAAATTAAAAGAATCAAGATAGGTTTAGCTATTGTGTTTGTAGCAAACATTTAGGTACTCTTCTAGGGGAAAATTGTGCTTTGTCTGTAGTAGCATCCCCAAGTATAAGGTTGAAAACATTTCCTTCACTTATTTTATTATGTGTAGTCTTGCCTCTGCTTGCCTCCACACACATTTATTATTATTTTTTCTTTTTTTAAAACCATCTCTTAAGTCTTTTTGATCCTTTTATTGTTTTCTGGTTCCCATTTACTTTTTTGTGTGTGTATGTGGTTCTGGGGTTTGAACTCAGGGCTTCATGCTTGCTAGGCAGGTGCTCTACCACCTGAACCAGTCTGCAAGCCCTCCACACACATTTAAAATGTAGTGAGTATTATTGATGCAGTGCTTGCTTTGTCTGGTGCTTGTCATGTTTTTATCATTTGTCCTTCAACAACCTTACAGTGAGGTGTAGGTATTGTTATTGTTTCTGTTTCATTAATAATGAGGAAACTGAATCGAAACTTATACAGTGCACCCAAGAACATACAACTGTTCATTGACAGAATTGGAATTTGATCATTGACGATCTGTCTTGAAGTTCATTCAGTCTCCCAAATAGCTGGGAATACAGGCACATGCCAATGAGTCCGGCTCTCTTAGTGGTTTATTTTTTTTGTTTGTTTTAATTGTGGCAAAACATGCATAAAAAGTTTATCATTTTAACCATTTAAGAATGTATAAAATTCAGTGGCATTAAGTATATTCACCATTGCCACTGTCTGTTTCCAGAAGTTCCCTCTGCCTGTAGCCTTGGTACCTAATACTTTCTGGCACTGTGAATTTGCTTATTCTAGGTACTTTACATAAATATTCATTCTTTTATGTCTGGCTTGTTTCACTTAGCATGTTTCTAAGTTTTATCCATATTATAACATGTATCAGAATCTCCTTTAGAAGGCTGAATAAAATTCCACCAAATGTATATACCAAGTTTTGTTTATCCATTTATCTGTTGATGGCCATTTGGGCTATTTCCTCCTTTTGACATTTTCTGGAGAATGGCATCTCTGGGCTTTGAACTCAGGACCTCATTCTTGGTAGGCAGGTGCTCTACCACTTGAGCCACTTCACCAGCCCTCTCTTTTTCACTCTTGTCAGTAATACTGCTTTGAACATTGATATGCAAATGTCTGTTCGCATTCCTATTTTCACTTCTTTTGGATATTTATCCAGAAGTGAAATTGCAGGATCATATGATAACTATTGTTTGGCTTTTTTATTTTTCCATACAGTAAAATATAATAGTGTATGGTCACAGAGGAGAAATTGTTTGATTTCAAATACTGTCACATTCCCCTTTATTCTCTTCTCAGTGAAAATGGAAATTACCTATATTTTTGTGTATAAGATGTACATTATCAACTTCAGGAGGACAGGGGATCTTGACACATGTATTTTTGGTGTTGTGCCTGGCTTGATGGGAACATCTAACAAAGTTAGCCAGTTCATTTCTGTACTTCCTGCCTTAAGATAACCTCTGGAAAATGTACTAGATCTGGAGTTTGATCTTTCTTTACCATTCCTTCATAGTCTCCTGGTTTTTTTGGGGGAGGGGGAGTGCTGGGAGTAAAACCCAAAGCCTTTTATTTTCCTCTTGAAAAATTATAGCTATGTTATTAAAAACTATCCTGAATTTATGGTTTGCTTGACATTTTTGTTAAGTTCTACAAGTTTCTTGGTACATTTTATTTCAGGATTTTTGTTCATTTTGTTACATAAACTTAAATTTATTCACATATCTTTTTTATATCCTTATTTCATATTGTTATGTTCTTCAGAACCGAGAGTGTATATGTGCTTGGTTTTCTCACAGTGCATAATGTACAAAGTATAAGTTTATTGAATGTTTTTGAATAATTTTTTGAAGGTAGGCACAGTGACAGTCATTAAATTTTAGTTCTTAAAACCTTCAAAAATCATTGTCTCTGTTCCTTTAAATATTAACATAGTGCCAGTTAGGTTACATATGTGTTGAAAGGAAATTTGAAATCTAAGCCTAGAATAATTTTTACTTTTAGTAGACAGAGTTAGGATGCTTGAATCTAACTTCTTTCCCTAAATAACTTTTACCTTCTTTTCAGATTGTTGCCAGTAAAGGAGGTTTTGAAATGGTCACAAAAGAGAAGAAATGGTCTAAAGTGGGTAGCCGCTTGGGATATCTGCCAGGAAAAGGGACTGGGTCTCTTTTAAAGTCACACTATGAAAGGATTCTCTACCCCTATGAGCTCTTCCAGTCTGGTGTCAGCCTTATGGTAAGATTATTACTGTTCTTAATGGAGAAATCCAGTTTGCCAGTATGAACTTTAGGTCTTGCTCACCACCAGTAGACAGTTGTACACATAGCAATGTAGAATAGATTTCTCCAAGCACCAAAATTTGGGAGAGCCAGGTGTGTATCATAGTTAAAAATCATAGCTATTCTTGGTGGTTTATAAGATAAAGTATAATATGAATGAAAGGAGTTTTCTTACTTATTTAAAATAAGTCTTCATGACTTCGTTTTTTTTTTTTGCAGCACTAGAGTTTGAGCTCAGGGCCTCACGCTTGCTAGCCAGTGCTCTAAGAGCCACTTGAGCCATGCCTCTAGCCTTTTTTGTTTGTTTGTTTGTTTTGTATTTTTTTTGAGTGGGGGGATGGAGACTGGCCCTCACTGTGTAGCTGTGAGGCTGGTCTTGACCTGGTAATCCTGTCTTAGCCTCTTGAGTATCAGGATTATAGGCGTTGTACCATCATGCCCAGCTTTGGTATCATATTTAAGAAATCTTTTCTTAATACTAGCTCACAAAGATTTTCTTCTTTGTTATTGTGCAGAAGTTTTATAATTTTAGCTTTTATATTTAGGTCTGTGATGTATTTTATTTATTTATTTATTTATTATTTTATTCATATGTGCTTGTGATGTATTTTAACTTAGTTTTTGGGGGAGGCAGGATAGAGTGAGGTAAAGGTGCAAATTCATTTTTTTTGGGGGGGTGTGGCAGATGGGAAGAGTATATGAATATTCATTAGTGTCAGCATCATTTTTAAAAGACTATCCTTTTCCCATTGACTTAACTTGTTATCTTTGTGAAAATCAGTTGATCATAAGTGTTTGGGCTTATTTCTGGACTTATATTGTTACATTGATCTACAGTTTCCTGCCCTCATCCTCATGTGTGGTTTGATTTTCTGTGATTTCAGTTATATTGGTTAGATGTACTTTGAAAATACTAATTGGAAAATTCCAGAAATAAGCAGTTCATAAATTTCAAATTGCATTGCATTCTGAGTAGTGTGATGAAATCTTGTACTCTCCTGTCCTGGTGGCGAATTATTTCTTTGTCTCCTGTATAGTAGCCATGTCAGTTTTTAGATCTATTGGTGTTATTACAGTGCTTGCGATCAAGTCACCCTTATTTTACTGATAATGACCTCAAAGTGCAAGAGTAATGATGCTTGCAGTTCGGCTATGCCAAAGAGAAGCCATAAAGTGTTCCCTAAATCTAGATGAAAAGGTGAAAGTACCATAAAGATACTTATGTGAGAGAGACCGTATTCACATAACTTTCATTGTAGTAGATTGCTTTAATGTGTTCTATCTTAGTTATTGTCATTACTCTCTTACTATGCTTAGTTTATAAATTAAGCTTAATCACAAGTATGCATATGTAGGAAAAAACATGGCGTACATGAGGGTTTAGTATGAGCCATAATTTCAGGCATTCACTGTGGATTTTGGGACACATACTCCATATGAAGTGGAATTGTTGTACGTGTGTACCTGAATACCAAGACCACACTTGTCTAGAGGATTGTAGTTTTATTGCAATATTCTTCATATTCAGTAGTACAAGTCCTCTAACTTGACTCTTTTCCAAGATTTCCAAACAGTATACATTTTCACATAAAGTTTTGAATAAGCTTTCAGTTTCCACAAAAGAAATCTTGCTGAGATTTTGATAGGGTTTATCTTGAGTCTATAAATCAGTTTGAGGAAGAATTGCCATCTGGTTTCATAGAGTTTTAGGGATTTACTGGAAAGTTATTTCTCCACTGATTATCACATTTGATTTCTTTTTTTTTTTTTTCGATACTGCAGTTTAAACTCAGGGCCTCACACTTGCTAGGCAGTCACTCTACCACTTGAGCCATTCTGCCAGCCCTTTTTTGTATTGGGTATTTTTGAGGTAGAATCTCTTGAACCCGATTCTCCTGATATCTACCTCCTGAGTAGCTAGGGTTACCTGCGTGAGCCACCAGTGTAGAAGCTCAGATCTGATTTTTTATCTGTGAATTTTCTGTCTTTCTGTATCTGATCTTTTAGGGTGTACAGATGCCTAACTTAGAACTTAAGGAAAAAGTGGAGCCTGAAGTTCTCAGCACTGATATCCAGACTTCCCCAGAGCCAGGCACAAGAATGAACATTCTGCCAAAGAGAACAAGACGTGTCAAATCTCAGGTACCAATGTCTATGGGCCATTTTAATAGGATTTTTAAGTGCATTGACTACACAGCAGTTTTTTGGTCACTGAAGATCATTCAAGTACTATTGCTTTTTAACACTTGAAAAGACATGTGTTTCCTTTACCTTTGAGGTAAATGAAGAAGAAATCGTGAAATTCAGTCTAATTTGATTTAGAAACTAATTTCTTAATATTGAGCAGTTTTTGACAAGGATGACTCTGGATAATATAGTGCCAGTTTCATATACATCCTAATGAGTTCTGGTACATTTTAATTTTCATGGTTAGTAGAAAGGATAAAAAAGAGTGGTTGGTTTATTTTTCACTCAAAAAAGAGTGATTGTTTTTTTTTCATTCACTGTTCTTTTAAAAACTGGAGTATGAATTTCTTAGTATCTGAGCCATTCCAGGGTAGTCTCTAAAATGATTTGAACAACTTCTCCCTCCACTTCCCTCCCCTCCCTCTGACACTTGATCTCATCACGCTGCCCAGCTCAAATGACTCTCCTGCCCTAGACTCCCGAGTGCTGGGAGTAGAGGTGGACGCCATCATGCCTGGCAACTCTGCTTGTCTTGTTCTGAATTTATGCTTACTGAACAACTTGGCCTTTTAGGTATTCTTGATAGCAGAAAGGTAGATGTCCCAGATAGGGATCTGAATTTAATGAAATTCTTTGTGAGCGCTCCATTATGAATTAGTAATCTTTGGTTTAATTATTTACTGATTTTTATTAGTGTGATCTTTGAATTAGTTAGTCGATTAATTTTTTTCTGCCAAGTGAATTTTTTTTTTTTGATGGTACTGGGATTTGAACTCAGAGCCTATACCTGGAGCCACTCTGCCAGCCCTTTTTTATAAAGGTTTTTTTTGAGGTAAGAGCTCTTGAACTATTTGCCTGGGCTGGCTTTGAACAGCAATCTCTTGATCTCTGCCTCCTGAGCAGCCAGGATTACAGGTGTGAGCCACCAGCCCCGGGCTCCAAGTAAATTTTTTTAAAGTGTGGTTTTTCAGACCTTTTTCAACTTCAGAATTGTAAATAATGAGTCATAAACCAATATTTATATAGTCGTTGAGCTGATACATGATAATTAGAAAATACTAAGTACTAAATATTAGCTATTATTTTTGTCACTAGAAAAATGGCCTTAAAAAATCAATGGTGAAGCTTAGATGTGGTGGTACATGCCTACAGTTTCTAGCAACTCCAGAGACAGAGGCAGGAGGATTGCAAGTTCAAGGCCAGTCTGGGCTACATAGTGACTTTGAGGTGTAATTAATTGTCAAATTCTGAGACCCCTTTTTCATTTTGTGGCTTACTAGATCTCAGGTCATATTGATCTTTAATTGTTGATACCTCTCCATGAAATTCAATTAACTTGATTTTTTTCTTTGGGTTCTGTAACACATTTCTTTTGGCTTTCCTCTTTACCTTTTGAACATTTCTTATTCATCTTTGTTATCTCTTCTGTGCTTTATTTTGTATATTAATTTTTTTTTCAATTTTCACTCTTGTTAGCTCTCTCAACTACCCTGTGATTTCATCTCCTGTCTATACATTCAGGGCTCCAAAGTGTCTTGACATCCATGTATCTTGTGTTTACCTGTGTGTATATGTGTTTTCCTTGTTGGCCATAGCACAGGTATGCCAAATTCAGTATGTTTCAAAATAATTACATTACAACCTTTTTTGTTTTTTCTTTAATATATTCTAGCTTGGTGACCATGCCAAGCACCATCCAGTAGTCTCTCAAACAAGTTATGAAACTTGTCTTGCTTCCTTTTTTATGTCTTTCACATCATTTGCTTTATTCTCCTAGAGTGTTAGGTTTCTTGAGAGCTGGATTTGTCTGTCAAGAAATACTAAACCTGGGCTAGGGATGTAGCTCAGTGGTAGAGTGTTTGCCTAGCATGTGCAAGCCTCTGGGTTTGATCTTCAACACCACACACACAAAAAGTAAAGATATTTTAATGTTTTGTTCATTTCAGTGAAGCCCATATGCCATTATAGCTCATTATTGGTGACACTAAACTTGAGCCTGATTTCTGCATTGTAAAGTACTTACTTTGTGGTGAAACTAATTGGAATAAACTCTGACACAGTATGAATAACCTCTTTTCTTGTTACATTCTACCTAATGCCTTGGTGTTTGCAAACAGGGTAATTTTTTTTGTTCCATTTCATTTTGTCATTCCTTCTACATTTTTGTAGTTGGCATATTTTTCCCTGAAGAAGAGCTTTTCTTTTCCCACACATTTTATAGAGGTAAGTTTTTCCATTCAGTAAAAGGTATACACACATATACACTTTTTTTTTTTTTTTTTGAGATGGCATCTTACTATGTTACCCTGGTGGCCTCCAGTTCTTGGGTTCAAGTTATCCTTCTGCCTCAGCCTTCTGAGTAGGTGGGACTATGGGCAAGTACCACCATACCTAGCTAAAATGTATAAATCTTAGATGTGACATCCCCTTCTGTTATTTTTTAGTATCACTATGGATCATTAATTTTTTTTATTAGGGTATGTTCATCGTACAGGGAGGATTCATTGTGGTAACTCCATATAGGTTTATATTGTACATTGGTTAGATTACCCCCACTTGTCTTTCCCCCGTCACTCCCTCCCTGCCCCCACTTAAAACTATCACAGGAGGTTTCTTTGTTCTATTTCATGTAAACATATTCCCTCACTTTAGCCAAAAATATGGAATGAATTTTTGTGTCATCCTTGTACAGGGGCTATGATAATCTTCTCTGTATTGTTCCAATTTTAGTATATGTGCTGCCGAAGCGAGTATAGGTCATTGAATGATTTTAATGCAGTGTTTTATAATTCATTACTGCCTTTTGTTCTTTTTTTGATAATCTAATTATTCCAAATTTGGATATTGGAAGCTCCTTCAGGTTGGTTTGTGTGTCTTTTTAACAGGTCTCCATCAGTATTTGAACATTTGTTTTCAGGCATAGAAAAGCTCATATTCTTTTACCCCTGCTTACACCTGAAATCATTTCTCCCAGGAATCCTCGTTCATTTTAGTGGGGAATAATATTTAGAAATCATGATCTAAGCAAAAAGTGTGCTGTTCCTACCAGGATATCATTGCCTCCAGGGTTTTTTTTTTTTTTTTCTTCTTGCTAGGCAAGCACTCTACCACTTGAGCCACTCTGCCAGCCCTTTTTTGTGTTAGGTGGGTTTTTTTTTTTTTTTTGCAGTTACTGGGGCTTGAATTCAGGGTCTACAAATTGAGCCACTCTGTCAGCATTTTTTTGTGGTGGATTTTTTTTTAGATAGGGTCTCAGGCACTATTTGCCTGAGCTGGCTTCGAACCGTGATCCTCCTGCTTTCTCCCTTCCGAGTAGCTAGGATTACAGGCGTGAGCCACTGGCCTGATTAACATGAGATTTTTTAAAGGGAGGTAGTTCTAGAACTAGTAGAACACATCTACTTTTTTCTTTAAGCACTCAGTCTGTCTACCCCCCCTCCCCCACAGTCTACCACTTCAGTCATGCTTCCCCCCTTTTTTGTTTGTTTGCTTTCGAAATAGGGCCTTGATACTTTGCTCATGCTAGCATGAAAACCTTGATCCTGCTTCCTTTTCCCCTGAGTAGCTGGGATTATAGACATTTATCACCAAGCCCAGCTGTCTCCCTTGCTTTCTTTAGTGTATGAGTGATAAGTTCCCACCTAATTGTTGTGCAACTACTGTATGGGCCAGTACTGTGTTTTTAGCAGACTGAGTTTGCTAGGAAGGAGTTAGGGGCAAAAGAATTTACTGTTTGAGGAGCTTTGCTTTCTTTTTCTTTTTTGAGTGAGAGAGGGTCTCTGCTATATAGCCTAGGCTAGTCTCACAGTGCCTCTACTTTTGGAATGCTGACACTATAGGCATGCCCTATGCCAGCAGGAGCTTTCCTTTTCATTAGAAGATTAAATAATCTACGGTTAAGGGCATAGTTCATATGGTAGGCCCTGAGTTCAATCTCGTATTACAAAAAAGAAAGAAAAAGAAAAATCTTTCTCAGAGGCTTCCGTTAAACTTTATGCTATTGGCTAAAACTGATCATATTCCTACACCCAGTTAGGTCATCACCAGCAAAGAGAAATGAGAGTAGCATGATTGTCTTAGGACAGTTATGATTTATCCCCTGAGATGGACATACTACCCTCTAATCAAAGACAGGTATCCTCTAACAAATTACAAGTGGGAATTTCTGTGGCCTAATAACCAGGAGTGTCTGTCTTCAGACAGACCCACATTGACAACTATGCTTTTATGAAATGTAGATGAATTTTAATTTGTAGAAAGGAATCTTATTATTGCATGGGACTTTGGTGACTATTTAAAATGAGGCAGTGAGTGGATTTAGAGAGAAGTGATATTTTTTTACATCATTTTGAGGAGGCTTCTAAAACTTGTATTGAGTAATAAAGTAAATGCATGAGTAGATATGATGGCATGCACCTGTAGTCCCAGCTACTTGGGAGCAGAAGCAGGATGATTGCTTAAGCCCAGAAGTTTGAGGTCAGCCTAGGTCACATAGTGAGACCCTATTGCTTAAAGAAAAATTATTAGGATAATTATGGTATTGTAATTTTTGTTTATTATTTTTTAGTCAGACTCTGGAGAAGCGAATAGAAACACAGAACTGAAGAAACTTCAGATTTTTGGGGCTGGACCTAAGGTTGTGGGCCTGGCAATGGGAGCAAAAGATAAAGAAGGTAAAATCTGTTACTAGTCTTGAGCGGAAATGAAGTGCAGTGATGTGGTTGTAAAAGATTCAAATGATACTTGAATTTCAATCTGTGTGGGGAATTTAAAATATGGTTTCTAGGAAAATGGCCTTTTTTCCCCAGCAAATATCTTGAATTTAAGGTGTGAGGAGCAATAATTTTTTAATTTTTATGACTTTAGAAGAGAGAATTTTCCTTCTCCATTTTTAATATGCATCATAAATCCATTGCAGTTTTTAAAGGCTAGTTTGTTTCACCAATAATGGTGAAATTATTGGTTTTCACCTAGTGATCTGTGGCTTATAACTTTTAAATTAAAAGGGAAATAGAGGATTCTCAAGCATTTAGTATGAAAACATATTGGAAAGAGATTAGAACTTTTAAATTCTAACCATAATATTTATTTTTCTAATAATTTCCCTTAATATTTTACACCATTTAAATAAACTCTTATTTTCTTCAGAAAGCCTAGTTCTCTTCAGCTTTGTATATTAGAAACTTTTATGAGTAGAATTGATAATTTAAAAAATCAAGTTCCACTATTCTTCCTAACGTGTCAGTTTTAAAACTTATTCTAAAAAAGAGTAGGCTGGACATGTTTTCATTTACATCTTTTTTTTTTTTTTTTTTTTTAATTGGGACTGCAGTTTGAATTCAGGGCTTTGCACTTGCAAAGCAGGTACTCTGCCGCTTGAGCCATACCTCCAGCCCAATTTGCTCTGGTTATTTTGGAGATGGGGTCTCGATAACTTTTTGCCGGGGCTGGCTTTGAACCTCTATCCTCCCAATCTCAGTCTCCCTAGTAGCTAAGACTTACAGGTGTGAACCACCAGTGCCTGGCTTGACTTACATTTATAAGAATTTAATGAGATACTATAGTTATATATCTTATGCATTTACAATATGAATAGTTAAATCATGTAATTTAGTTTGTGGACTGAACTGTAGAGGATCCACCTCTACAGTTCACCTTCTAAACATTTAATGTAAAAAATTTACTAAATACTAACATATTTAATGCTTTTCATTGTCCTTTTTAAGAATTAAGTACTTCATCTTTGTTATGCTTGTAATTATTGTATTGCCTGGCAGTGACCTTCAAAGTTCATTATTTCATTTGGTAATGATCTTAAAAATTAATCCCTGACTAATGCAAGGGTCCTTGTAAGTCATATGTGTAGGCCATGTGCACTAAGTACTACATGCAGGCAGTATAGCATTAAAGGTTGAGCTCTTGGCAACCTGTTGTCTGGATTAGAATCCCAAATCTGCCACTGACTGGCTGTGTGATTTTGAGCAAGTTATGTGCCTTCTCTATATTTTAGGTTCTTTATCTTCAACTAGAGATGGTAATATATCTACCTCATAGTGCTGTGAAACTTTAAATAATTTAAATAATTTAAAATAGTGTCTGGTCCATAGTAAGCTCTCAACATTAGTTTTTTATTATTATCATATAACTTTTTATTTCAAGATGAGGTCACCCGAAGACGAAAAGTTACCAACAGGTCAGACGCATTTAACATGCAAATGAGACAACGGAAAGGAACTCTCTCTGTTAACTTTGTAAGTGCTTTGGGATTTGTCAGGAGGGAAAGGATTTATTTTAATTTTAGTTTTGCTCTTTTTATCTTGATCTGTCTTGGTATGCTGTTTAATTAGGTCATTGGGTTAGAAGACTTGGTGGTCAGTCTAAAGTTGCAGCTTTGGTTTAAGTAGTGTTGACCTTGCTTTGTCTCATGTATGTAGACTGTTTACCCTAAGTCACATAACCTTGTGGGTGACTAAGCGAGAGTAAATATGAATCTGTGTACAGACAGCCTTCTGTATCCTCAGGTTCCACATCTTTGGGTTCAACCAAGTATAGATTGAATATAATTTTTTAAAATACTGTGTCTGTGCTGAACAGTACAGACCTTTTTTCTGATCTTATTTCCTATACAGTCTAACAGTGTAACAGCCATGTTGCATTTACATGGATTAGGTATATGGATAACCTGGAGATGCGTTAAGAGTGTACGAGAGGCTGTGTATAGATAATTGCAGATACTAAGCCATTTTGTGCAAAGGACTTGAACATCTGTGGATTTTGGTGTCCATGGGGCTGGGCAGGGGGATTCTGGATCCAAGCCCTGGTAGGTGTCAGGGTGAGGTGAAGAATGTTATAGGGAGTTCTCAGTATTTATTCTTTACCAAAGAGTATCTATGTGGAGGAGTAATGACACTTTTAAAATACAAATTGATTTTTGCATACTCTGGACTTGTAGACTCTTCTAACAACTTGATATACTTTTATTAATTTGCTTATAAAAGTTGTAGATGGAAATTTTGGGGAGTTTTATGAAAAGTTGAAGTATGATTGTTTGAAATAGATTTCCAGGATTTAAGTTACATTTATTTTTAAAAATGAATTTGTGGTAAAAATTTAATATTTATTATGGAAAGTGGACTTCTATTTTTGTTTATTTATTTAACAGGTTGATCTTTACGTCTGTATGTTTTGTGGTCGGGGAAACAATGAGGATAAATTGCTTTTGTGTGATGGATGTGATGACAGCTATCATACATTTTGTCTGATTCCACCACTGCCTGATGTGCCCAAAGGAGACTGGAGGTGTCCTAAGTGTGTTGCTGAGGTAGAAGCCTAACTTTTAGGAATTCTTTTTTTAACTGAAAACACTAATGCATGCAAGTACATGTACACAGAAACCCATTCCCCAAAGCTTGTCTCCTCTTGCTTTGTTCTTTTGTGTTGAAAATGTCCAGGATTTTAAACAGAGTTCATATTGAATGGAAATGTAACAACTATATTGTGACTGCTTGTCTTCAGAGTTTTTTTTTTTTTTTTTTTTCACCAATTACTGGATACATAATTATTCTTACTGCTTCAGTTGAATGAGACTTCTCAGAATATTCATATTGCTGGAATAAAAGTGAAGAAAAGCGATAAGCCTTTTTTGTTGTTGTTTTTGGTACTGGGGTTTGAACTCAGGGCATCACACTTCCTAGGCAAGCGTGCTGCCATTTGAGCCACTTGAGCAGTCCGGGTTTTTTTTGGCTTAAAAAAAAAAATGAAATATATACGTATATGCAATATATATATGAAATATGTATATGAAGTATATATGTATATGAAATATATATATATATATATATATATATATATATATGAAATAAAAATGAGGCGTAAAGCACTAGAATTTGGGATTTATACACCCATTCTTCATGCTGTTAAGTGAACTGGTGATATCTTTTGGTTTCTTCACATTTTGACTTGATTGTACTGATTTTTTTTTTTTTTTTGAGAAAGGATCTTGCTGTATAGCCCAGGCGGGCCTCAAATTCATGATCCTACTGCCTCAGTTTCCCTAGCGCTAGGTGTACCCCACCACATCTGACCTGAGTTTTTCTTATGGAAAGATGATGCTGCTATAAAATGTCTATTTGCTTATTTTAACACATGCCATGATAGGCACTGAAAGGAAGGAATTGAGTGGGTACATCTCAGTGCATTCAGAGGTCTTTTATGGTCTTTGAATTGTTGTTTATTTCTTGCTTTTCATAAGGTTAAAAGATTTAGAGGCAGATCTAATCTAAATGTTTGTGTTAAACATTGGTCATGGCGATTGGAGTGGTTGTAAACAGACCATTCTCATAAGCAGATACCCTCACAATCTAGTATGTATCCCATAAACTGCAACTTTTCTTTCCTCCGTGAGTGTTTATTTTCTCCATGGCCAGATACACTACATGCTAGGAATGATCAGTATCTCTGGACTTGATTCCAAGTTAGTAATCCTCCAGGGGCTTGTCTTGGTGGCAGAGCATAAGGCCAGTTCCAGAGTCTAAAATCTTTCTCATTACCACCTTTCTACTGGAACACCAAAAATGCAGTTGAGGTTTTAGAACATTTAGGACTTTCCTGATACCATGTTGCAATTAGGGTTGCTGTGTAGGGTTGATTTGTTTCACCCAGGGAAGTGACAAAGAAAGTAATACCCAAGAACTTTATTTATTTGGTTTTTTTGTTTGTTTTTTTCAGTGCTGGGGATTGAACTCAGGGGCCTCATGCATGCTAAACAAGTGTTCTACCACTGAACTACAGCCCCTGCCCCTCATTATCTAGAGTTTAATGCTTTTATTAGTGTAATTTCAGTGAGTTAATTTTAGATATCTTTTTCTTTCCAGGAATGTAACAAACCTCGAGAAGCCTTTGGATTTGAACAAGCTGTACGAGAGTATACACTTCAGAGCTTTGGAGAGATGGCAGATAATTTTAAGTCTGATTATTTCAATATGCCAGTCCATGTGAGTAATTGTCTTTTAGGTCTATTTGAAGCGGTTCAGCGATTTATCTGAGTGTAAATAAAGCTTTCTGGTTTGTTTTTTACTTTTAATATTTTGTAGAAAACAGGGACAGCATGCAAAAGACAAAAAAATCTTAAAATTAGGGGCCTGACATCTATCTCCATTTCCTTTATCTATTTTGATATTTGAATTGTTTTTTATTAGCCTTCTGTGAGTAATCCATTATAGAAAAGCATGATGTATTAATTTGGCTGTTGCTGCTTTCATTTGATTACTTGTGATATGGGCTTTGTTTTTTCCCTAGGGGATCTTGGGCTTTTTAAGGTCCTACCAAAAATTTTTGCAAATGCTGTTAAGATTCAATCTTGCTGTTTTCACTTCCTATTCATCTTTGATGTGCTTTTTCGTCTTTTTTTTGGTGGTACTGGGGCTTGAACTCAGGGCCTTATGCTTGCTAGGTGGGCACTCTACCACTTGAGCCATGCCACCAGACCTTTGTTCATCTTTGTCCTAAGTAGAGAGCATATTCTTTCAGAAAAAGGCAGTTCACATTCATTATGTTTTTTCTGAATATTCAACTTATCTTTAGCTTTTTCCTATTCTCAGTGGGAAAAGTTAGTATCCCAGTCACTTTGCTGGGGAATGTGAAGATTTTTTAAAAATTTCATCTTGAGTATTATGTTGTAGTGGATTAATAATGTCTCAATTTTTTTCTCCTGTGCAGATGGTTCCCACAGAGCTAGTAGAAAAGGAGTTCTGGAGGCTGGTGAGCAGCATTGAAGAAGATGTCATCGTAGAGTATGGAGCAGATATCTCCTCAAAAGACTTTGGAAGTGGATTTCCTGTAAAGGACGGTCGGAGAAAGATGTTGCCAGAAGAAGAGGTACAGATAATATTATCTAAATTTCTCCTTAATTCCCAAGCTGATTTAGACTTTGCGTAGAAAACTACCTTTCTGTGATCTTAAGGGACCATGTCAATTTAAAATAATAAACATGTTAAGTTTTAAAAAGAATGAATTTAAAATATCTTCAAAAATTATTTAGGGGATGGATGCATGGCTCAAGCAGTAGAATGGCTGCTTAGCAAGCACAAGGCTCTGAGTTCAAACCCCAGTACTAAAAAAAAAAAAAAAAAACCACAAAAAATAAACACTAAATTAGTGTTAAAACTTTAACTCCAGTTTAAAATTTTTTCCTAGCTCTTTCTCTTTTAAATTCTAGAAAGTTGTTTATGTAACTGGGCACAGTGGTACGTGCCTGTAGTCCCAGCTATTTAGGCAGCTGTGGTGGGAAGATTACTTGTGCCTAGGAGTTGAATCCAGCCTGGGCACCATAGCAACACTCTATCTCAAAAAATGAAAGTGATTTACACTTAAAAAAAAAAAAAAGAAAAAAACCACTTAAAATTTTTTGATAGGTCCTAAAATAAGTTTCCTTCAACAGGTGGGCAGGTAGACTTTCCAGGTATTCCTTTAAACCAACATACTTGTGAAGTTCTTGTACCATAAAGATGTGTAAAGCTGAGTTGAGATGATCATTCATTCATTCATTTCTCCTTGCCTTGGTTGTGACCACCTTTTTCTTTTTCTTTTTTGGGTGGACTAGGATTTGCAAAGCAGGCATTCTACCACTTGAGCCTCACCTCCCGTCCATTTTGTGCTGGCTATTTTGGAGATTGGGTCTTGCGAGCTATTTGCCTGGGCTGGCCTCAAATTATGATCTCCCTGATGTCAGCCTCTCAGGTAGCTAGGATTACAGCATGAGCCATCAGTCCCCAGCTCCTTGCCACTTTTCTTTCCTCTATAGTTGGTTGTAACTTAAATTTTATCTCCTACTAAAAGAATGCACTTTATTACTCCATTATCAAAATAATGGCAACACATGTGGAGTATCTGCCAGGAAAGCTCATTAGAGACCCTGTGCCCAGGGTTTTTTGTGTGTTTGTGAGCACGAGTGTGTGTGTTGTACAGGAGATTGAGCCCTGGCCTCACTCATGACAGGCAAGTGCTCTATCACTTGATCTACCCCCTCAGCCTCCAGCCAGGATTTTTATTAGGAGCTAGTGACATGAGTACCCTTTGCCAAATACATAAAACATTCCAGATTCTGAGAAAGGAAGGTAGTGACCAGTGTAAACCACATGGTCCAATTAGTCTGGGCACTGTAGCTCCCTTTTCTCATTTAGGAAAAGTTCTGTATTAGTGCAGGGAACTGTTTACCCTTGAGGTTTCTAGATATCAGCCAAAGGCCAAAGTTTAAGCAGGCCTTTCAAAAGATAGCAGTCTTAGCTGTTTTTTCTGTATACTACTTCTTTTTGTTTGCTTGTGGCATTGAGGATTGAGTTTGGGGTCTTGTGCTTGCTAGGCAAGCATTCTGCCACTTGAACTATGCCCCTAGTCGCTTTTAGTTTGTTTTTCAGATAGAGTGTCACAAAAACTTTGCCTGGGCTGGTCTTTGAACTACGATCGTCCTACCTCTGCTTCCCAAGTACTTGGTACCACAGGCATGCTCCATCATGCCTGGCTTGTTTTTGAGATAAGGTCTCATGAACTTTTGCTTGGGCTGGCCTGGAATCATCCTCCTTTTCTGCCTCCTGAGTAGCTGGGATTATAGGCGTGTACCACTATGCTTGACTTGCATAGTACTTCTCTTGGCACCCTCTCCTTGGATACTGTTTTCATTTAAAATTTTAAGATTGATGGGTGAGTGGGAATTTATTATATAATTCTGTGTACTCTTGTTTCTGTTTGAGCCACTCAGACAATCCCTCTTATTTCTGTTTGAAATGTCCCATGATCAAAAGCTTAAAAAACATTTAAAGATACTTTTGCCATATTGTTTTATTTTTAAAAAATACTGTTTGAATATCAGATAAATTCTAAGCTTCTTAGTCCAAACCTTAATATTGAATATGCAATCTTTCTTTTTACTCTTATTTCCTATATTTGTGACTCTTCCATTCTGTCTTTTTACCTGCTAGACTTGAATATTCTTTCTGTTTGTAATTTACCTTTTATATTCCTATAGTTCGTCTAGAATGTTTCTTGACTATTTTTTGGGACTGCTGGGGATTGAACCCAGGGCTAAGCATGTGCTGTGCCACTAAACTATGCCTCCAGCCCCTATTGAAATCATATATATCCTTCAAAGCTCAACTCTTTCTTCCTTTTCCGTGGTGTCTTCCTATAATCCAAATCCAAAAGAGCTTACATAATTTATTCTTTTATCTGTATTTAAATTTACTGTATATTGCCTAGTGTTAAAACTTTTTTGGGTATAGTTATCACTTCAGCTAGATTATTTTTTCAACCAACCAGCTGTCCAGTCACCCAAAAAAGTACATTGAATAATATCTACTGAAATCCTTTATTTTTCTTTTAGCCTATTGAGTGTGAGTTGTATGTCTTGGTTATTTCTCTTCTTCTCCTTTTCTATCTCCATCTCCTTTTCATTCCTCTTATTCTTATTCCTGTTTGAATTCCTAGTTAAACCTATCTATGTTGGACTTTCTTATTCTGTTTTGTGTGACAATAAAGGTTCTATATTCTTACGCTGGTTTATGGATAATTTCTTCAAATCTGTCTTCTAGATCATAAATTCTCTCCTTAGCTTTGGCATTGGCTACTTGCCCTCCTAACTTACTTTTGAGGGTTTAAAATTTTCTCATTTTATAGAAACTTCTAAACATAATAATGAACCTCCCTCAGTACCTGGCACCCAGATTTAGGTAGCACCTTTCCACGTTCTTATAGGAAGTGGTTGGTTCATATTTCTTCCTCTGCAGTCAGTCTGTTTTGCTGTCACATACCATGTTTCTTCTGGAAAATCACACTATACTGCTACAAAGAAAGTGAGAAAGGCAAACAGTATCTTAGAATGACTATGAAAATAGTTTGACTTCATGGATCTCTGATCTCCACTTTAAGTACTGCTTTGCATAAGGGTGATAAGCACTTCAAAACTATACCTCATATTGCTTCAGAGATGTCCAGTAAGAAACCCTGTGAAAATTCTGATGATAGCTTCCTTTTTTTATTCTGGCTTGATCTCTGTTTCTAGAAATTGAGAATTCCTTTTTCTTTCAAGTCCAGCTATGAAACAAGTTTCTTTGTTAGTGTTTTTATTTTTGTTTTGTTTTTGTAGTACTGGGGTTTGAACTCAGGGCCTCACACTTGCTAGGCAGGTGCTCTACCACTTGAGCCACTCTGCCACCCCTGTTTGTTACTGTTCTAATTCATTTGGTATTTATAGATGTATTCCTAGTGAGGGGTGGTAGTGTTGATTTTCTGCATCATACCTTCAGTGTTGCTGTAAATTCAGGATTATGGTTCTTTAAGCACTGTGCTATAGATATAGTAATCAACGTTTTGGGAAGTTATGCTGCTGGAGATAAAGTAGAAATATTTTAGTGACCTGTTAAAAGTGTCTCATCATTTTACTAGAAGCTTTGATCATGTGTTTAAGAGTAAATGAAAGGTAACTGAAATAAAGGAAAACCTAAATAGAACCTAGAAAAATGATTAAACATTTAGTTAATGAGCTATAGATATTGGATACAATGAGCACAATTTATGTGGACTAGATTGTGGTAAATACTATAAAATATTTGTCTTTTCAAGGAGATTCTCTTGAGATTTTTGTTGAGCACTTGTCATCTCTGATCTTCCATTTAACTTTTTTTCTTTTATAGGAATATGCACTTTCTGGTTGGAATCTGAATAACATGCCTGTTCTGGAGCAATCTGTTCTTGCACATATTAATGTGGACATTTCTGGTATGAAGGTGCCATGGCTGTATGTGGGGATGTGTTTCTCTTCTTTTTGCTGGCACATTGAAGATCACTGGAGTTATTCCATTAACTACTTGCACTGGTATGTACATTTCTCCATATAGCATTGTACTTAGAGGCTTTATTTTATTTATTTTTTTTGGTACATGCTGAGTACATGCTCTACCACAGAGCTATGGCTCATTTCTGATCTTTTTTGAAAATGTAATAATGTTAGAAGATATACCAGGGAGAACTGACTTCAAAATTATTTACTACCCAAAAGTAGGATAGTATATGGGGAGCAGAAGGTGGGTGCTGGTGGAGTGGCTCAAGTGGTAAGAGTGCTTGCCCAGCAAGCATAAGGCCTTGAGTTCAAACCCCAGTACTGCCAAACAAACAAACAACAAAAACAAACAGAAGGTGGGTGTCTCAGGATGCTTGCCCTTTTAAAGTTTGTGTGAATAGCAGAACCCAGATACCGGTTTGATGTATGTGATTGTGTGTAGGGGTGTGTGGGGGAGGGTGTGTAAGTGTGTGTGTGTGTTAGGGATTGAATAAAGGACCTTATGCATGCTAAGTAGATACTGTATCTCTAAGCTGTATCCCCAGCCCAATTTTGATATATCTTGACATATAAAATAGGATGTTTAAAGTTTATATAATTTAAAGATCTGACTAATCTTCAGTGTTGAAATTTAAAATGTTTTTCTTTTTAGTAACTTTTTCCCTAAAAATGCCCAAGTTATTTGTGCAGTCATTAAATTCGTTTGTTGAATTTTTTATATCTCACAGCTTTTATTTACTTAGCCAGTTCCTTACCCAGTGTTATGATATCTTAACTAGATGATATTTTTGTCTTCATTTAGAAGATGCTATTTAGATCACATAATACACAGTGGAAAGCTAATGATTTTCTTGCTTTGTTTCCTTACTGTGCTTCTAACCATATGTGGCTACTTAGATTAGTTAAAAGTAAGTAAAATTAAAAATTTACTGCCTCAATTGCACTAGCCACATTTCAAGTGCTCTACAGTTTCATGACTACGGGCCATTGTATTTTCTAACACAAACACAGTAAATTCTATGGGAACAGCACTGGTCTAGAATTTTGTGAATTGTGTGAGAATTAGGAGATACAGCTATTTTATAAACAAACAGCTTGTCTAATTAAACCTTCCCAGTAGTATAAGCATTTAGTATTCTAAAGGAACTCTAGGTAACTAAAATCTGGTAGACTAATGATACCATGTGTTTGGTCCTTAAGGTTTGTAAAGAACTATATTCACGGTTTCAATAATTTCTAGTCTTGACTTACTTCCTTGGATAGTAAAATTGAACTCAGTGAAGTCATTCATAAGTATTCTGGAGATATTGACTTTTTACATTGATTATCCTGGGGATAATTGGAATGTCCAATGTATTGTGTGCATCAAGGCAGTGTGTCAGTCAGTATCTTTGGAATAATGTTTACTTTGCCTTTAGTGTTTTTTTTTTTTTTCAGTTTGAAGATAGTGTTTCTGATCCCCCTTGAAGTGTTCATGTACTTTTTAAGTTTCCTAATAGGGATGTGTGTATATACCTCTCCATATTCTCTTGCCATACCTCCTGTTATGAATAGTAGCACAAATTTATGAGATGCTTGCCAGGATTCAGATGTATAATCTATGGCCATGGACTATGACATAGTTAATTATGATTTAATGGCATTGACTCACAAACGCTGCTTTCATTGGTACTATGTTCTACATAGCTAAAAAATTATTTCTTTTGCTAGGGGTGAGCCAAAGACTTGGTATGGTGTGCCATCTCATGCTGCAGAACAACTGGAGGAGGTGATGAGGGAGTTGGCTCCTGAGTTATTTGAGTCCCAGCCTGATCTCCTACATCAGCTAGTCACCATCATGAACCCCAATGTGTTAATGGAGCATGGTGTGCCTGTGAGTCTTTTTGTGTCTCTCTTCAGCATTTTTAAAGTTGTTTTAGCTCTTCATTAGGTAGAAACACAACATATGCTTTGTTTTGTAACTGGAAGTGAAAGGTCATGTCATCCTTAAAGCCTTGTTTTCAGTAAGCCATTATATCCTGTTTTGAACAAAAATCTCATAGTCTTTTATTATCCCTGTATTTAACAAAAAATAGTAATAACTGATTTTTTGTTGTTGTTTTGAACTTAAGGCCTCACACTTGGTAGGCAAGTATTCTATCACTTGGACCAAGCTCCCAGCTCCAAATACTTTTTTGGGGGGCTGTACTGGTGTTTCAGTTTAGGGCCTTGTGCTTGCGAGGCAAGCACACTATCACTTGAACCATGCCTCTATCCTTCTTATGGCTAATTTTTATTCTTATTTGTTTGTATGTAAATATTTCAGCTTTTAATACATGAGATAATAAAGCAAAAAATACTATGAATACCTTTTCTCCTTTCAACTTAGTTTAAAAAATGGTTCTCAAATTTAAACTACTAGAACCTGATAAAGTATAAATTTAATACATTTGCTACTTGTAATAAAATATTTATCATAACTTTTTTTTTTGGAGGTGCTGTGGATTGAACCCAGGGCCTGTGTATGCTAGACAAGTGCTGTATCACTGTGCTACATCTCCAGCCCTTGATCTGTTTTTGAGATGAGGTCTCACTACACAGCCCAGGCTGGCCTTGAACTTGAGATCCTCCTGTCTCTACCTCCTGAGTGCTAGGTGTGTTGGGCCACTATGACTGGCTCCTCATAACTTTAATGAAAAAGTAGAGTAACTTTCTTAGTGTTACTTTTGTCTTTAAAGAGTGAATTTGTACTAGAATTTATGGCTTTTCAAGATGCATAATGTTACAAAAAAAGTAAAATTCAGGAAAACTGCTTTTAGGGATATTTCATATGATGTATTAGCTAATTGAGTTTCCAAAAATACAAAGATTGTAGGAAATTCCATCCTTTACCACTATTTACATCAAAGGAACAAAAAAATTTCTCTTAATTGTGAAAATTCTATCAAATTAGGAAACTAATAGCTTAGTGAGAGTAACATCGGTGACTATTTTAGGGAGATAGAATTCTAGCTACGTTTTAGAAAATGCTATTGAAACTATCTAACTGATCACATCTGTCTCCCTCTTTTTGTTTTGTTTTTGGTTTTGTATCTTTGTTCCCACTTTGTGTTTAGGTGTACAGGACCAATCAGTGTGCTGGAGAGTTTGTTGTGACATTTCCTCGTGCCTATCACTCTGGATTTAACCAAGGCTACAACTTTGCTGAAGCTGTGAACTTCTGTACTGCTGACTGGGTCTGTTCTATAGCGAGTGGCTGTTGTACGTTTACTAACACCCCTATAAAATGCAGCTCAGTAGCCATATTTACTTAGCTGGGTTCTGGGTAGGGACCATGAATATTTCAGTGGAAGCTGGAGTGGCTGTTTCGTAATTAGGTAGTTAAGTAGAGTTTCCATCACATTGCTTACTTCTCATCCATTCATTATTTTCCCTGTCCTATTTGAACTTTAAATGGGCAATTGATTATTTTCTGTCATTTTCTGAGGGAATATAGTTCTCTAGATTGTGCCTTCTTTGAGAATTTTTGGATCTTAGGACATATAAACAATGAAGTAGCTAGTGATTGCTATTTTGCTTTTGTCTGAGGCAGATATCAAATTACATGTTGATTGGGAAAATACTGCATACTTCTAATACACACTGACTTTTGTTTATTATTTTTTTTAAAGCAATTCTGGGTCAGTTTTTTGTTTTTACCTCAACATTTTGGGGCAAGTCCATTAGTAATATTGAGTCTTAAATATTCTGTGGCCACCTTAATTTATTAAATACCATGATTGACCATAGAAAGTTAAATAAGTTAAAATGTTATAATAGTCTTATTTATTTGTTTGTTTATTTATTTATTTATTTTATGGAACTGGAGCTTGAATTCAGGGCCTTTACCTTGAACCAACTCCACCAGCCCTTTTTTGTGATAGAGTTTTTCAAGATAGGGTCTCAAGAACTGTTTGCCCAGGCTGGCTTTGAACTGTGATCCTCCTGATCTCTGCCTCCTGAGTAGCTAGGATTACAGGCGTGAGTCACCAGCACCCAGCTCTAAAAGGTTCTTAAGGGTCCATTTAAAGTTGTCTTCCTTTTATTTTACAGTTTCCAAACCTGAGCAAAACAATTTTTACCACTGATTTTTCTACCTGGGTGTAGGAGAGGAGTTAGTGTGTGTAGAAGATAGCTACTATCATGATAGCTTGATAGTTATAGAAATTTTCAGAATTTATTTTAAAGAGTATGTGGCTTTTTGTTTGCCTTTGGTGGTGTTGGGAACGCATTCTACCACTGAGCTACATCTCTAGCTCAAGAGTATCTCTCTTGATTATAAAAAGTGGCATTTAGTCATTTCACTATTAGGGAAAACAAAGCATATGATTTCACTTCTTTGAATTCTCTTTCAGTCAGGCTGGTTATTTTTAAAGGGATTTCTAGATGGTAAAATCTAAATCTTTTGCTTTGGTTCTTATAAAAAATGAAAAATTAGGCAATGTAGATTGCTTTCCCCTCATTTTTCTTTTCATTTTTTTTTCTTCTTAAAATATGTTCTTTTTGTTCTGTGCAATATCTTCTTTGTTTTTTGTCAGCACCTAAGCAGATGCTCTATCACTTGAGGCACTCTACCAATCCCCTTTTGTATCGGTTATTTTTAAGATAGGGTGTCACTTTTTCCCCTAGCTGTCCTGAACCATAGTCCTCCTATTTGTTCTTCCTGCATAGCTAGAAGGACAGGGGGACCCTTTCCCAGCCATTGGTTGAGATGGGGGTTAGTAATTTTTTGCCTGGCTGTCCTCAATCCTCAATCCTCCCCCTCTCTACCTCCCAAGTAACTAGGGTTACAGGCTTGACACTGTTCCTGGCCTGTTGTATGGAATCTTGAATGCTGAATACTTCCACTTAACATTTTATGGCCTGAACTTAAAAATTTTGTATTTTTACAATGTTTTCCTTTAAGGGGCAGCCTCATGTTAGACTGGTCTAGAAGAGTTTGCTATTTCATATGTATCAAGGAACTCCAGTGTTTTGATACACATAATAAGTAGAAAATCAGGAGCTTTAGGCCAGAAAGAAGTTTAGCATCTCAGATTATGGAGATTTTCTGTGGGAAGGGCCTGTGAAGTTTTGTCTGGGTTATAGAGAATTAACATTTACAATTGTCTCTTAGATTCAGGTGGGATTTGTTATTCTGAAGATTTTCTTTACTTTATTTTTTTTTTGGTAGGCAGGTACTTAAGCAGTGCCTCTGGGCTAGGATTTTTTTTTTTAAATATATAATAAAAGGGAGGATCTGGAGAATATATAGGGATTCTGTTCTGGAATGTCACAAGCAAGTAATTTAATTTGGAATTCTCTTGTTTTCAGTTGCCTATTGGACGTCAGTGTGTAAATCATTACCGACGACTGAGGCGTCATTGTGTTTTTTCACATGAGGAACTCATTTTCAAGATGGCGGCAGATCCGGAATGCTTGGATGTGGGGCTGGCTGCCATGGTCTGCAAAGAATTGACTCTCATGACTGAAGAAGAAACACGATTGAGGGAGTCGGTTGTACAAATGGTGAATTTGCTGAGCACATTTCCTATATTCTGATACCACTTAAGGGATATAGAAGAAAATTGAACCTATAGAAAACCATTTTTACCTTTTTTTTATATTTTTAGTGGTACTGGGGTTTGAACTCAGGCCCTCACATTTGCTAGGCAGGCACTCTACCACTTGATCCATTTCACTAGCTCCCCATTTTTAACCTTTTATCTCTTTAGAAGTTCATAAAAATCACTAATTTGTAGAAGGTATATATATATCTGCTTATGATATACATATAGGGCTTGGCACTTGCATAGCAGGTGCTCTGCTGCTTGAACCACACCTCCAGTCCAGATTTTTGCTCTGGTTATTTTGGAGATGGGGGGGGGTGTGTCTCATGAATTGTTTGGAGATTGGTGGGGTGGGGGGGCTCTCTCCTAACTGTGTGCTAGAATTACAGGAGTGTGCCACCAGGACCTGGCAGTTACATATTTTTATAGTTGCTATTTTGGTTTCTTCAGAAAAGAAACCAAAAAAAGTTTTAGGAAACTCAATGTTTCCTAGATTCTCCAGATTTAGTAAAAGTACAGTTCTGTCAGATAGAATTTTTTAGGTATATATTTGTCTTTTAAAATCTTCTACATATAGAATTGTTTCTTTTAGTAAGAAAATTTTTCTCCAAGCCTTATATTGAATACAAGTTATGTTTTTGATGATTGTAAGCTATGAGACTAAATTAGTCTTTCTTTACCCCTTTAAGTTAATTTAGGGAATAGGGAAGACTGAATAAGGGTTAGGATTTTGAATGCTTAGAATAAACATCTGACATGGTGAAGTACATATAAAATTCTGTGTCTATAGCTTCTTCTTGGCCTATTATCCCTAATCTTTCCTACATAGTTAGCTAGCCTCACTCGATTTGTACCATGCTCCCTCCTTCTGCTTTATTTTATTTTAATTTTTTGTGATACTGGGGATTGATTCCATGGCAAGTACTGTACCGCTGAGCTACATTGCCAGCCCTCACACTTGCTTTTATACCATATCCCTTTATCCCTCTCTGTCATGGCATTGTACTTCCCATATTTATACCTTAAATCAGTTATTTATCTGTAGAAAAACACAACATTAAGTTTTTTGATGCTTTAAAGACTAGAAAGACAATCTGGTGGCATAAATTGTATTTCAGGGTGTCCTGATGTCAGAAGAAGAAGTGTTTGAACTTGTTCCTGATGATGAACGGCAGTGTTCAGCATGTAGAACCACATGTTTTCTCTCTGCTCTCACGTGCTCTTGTAATCCTGAACGGCTCGTATGTCTCTACCATCCAACTGATTTGTGCCCCTGCCCCATGCAGAAGAAATGTCTTAGGTATCCAAAAGTATTTTATAAATTTTCCAATTTCTTTTTTTTCTTTTAAGTCAGATCTTAGTGGTATTCTTAGATATTCCCTTTCCTATCCACAAAGTAGTAACTTTTCTTTATCTGTTTTCTTCTTGCTTGGGGACCAGTCCTTTAAAGTTGGTCCTAAACACGTCAGCTAAAATTGGTTTCTTTGTCAGTTAATTCCACGTGTTCTCCTGTATCTCTGCAATAAGATTGTGAGGTTTTTCCCCATACTGGAGATTGGACTCAGGGCTTCCTGCCTAGTGTTGTACCTCTTGAGCGATACCCCAGTCCTGTTGGAGTCTTTAAGTTCTTAGTTTCAAGTTGTGGTCACATTTTGAAGTTTTTATTTCTGTGTTTTTTGTAGATACCGCTACCCATTAGAAGACCTCCCTTCTCTTCTGTATGGTGTAAAAGTCAGGGCACAGTCCTATGACACTTGGGTCAGTCGTGTTACAGAAGCATTGTCTGCTAACTTCAGTCACAAGAAAGGTTAAGTTTCCTCCTTCTGTATGTGTATACTGAATTCTTGTCATTTTGTTGTCCTCTTTGTAGAAAATATCTTGTCTCTCATGATGTTTGAAACTAACAAGTTAGTTGAATATAGGCTTAGTTTTCTATTTGAGAATCTTGTATTGAGAGATTGAATCTCCTGTGGCCTGGAATTTATTGTGTAGCCTAGGCTGGCTTCTGATTTGTAATCCTCCTGCCTCTGCCTCCCAAGTGATAGGATTACAGGTGGGTGTTATCATGCCCAGTGAGGATCTTCTTTTAAACAAAAAAGCTGACTTATAAAATAGGACAGATAAATTGTAATAGATAAGTATTTTGGGAGCCATTGCTACTTTTCAAAAGAGAAATTGCCTAAATTGAGAAAAGTTGTCTGTAGAGTTTTGGAATGGGTGCTTCTCAGTGGAGAGATTTTCACAGCTGTGGCATGTTTCTGCTAGAAGATTCACTTCTGTGAGGTTCGTGAAGATTTCAGAATGGCTTTTTGTGTCTGTAGTCATAATACATAGTTTTTTATTTATTTTTACAGATCTGATTGAATTGCGAGTAATGCTGGAAGATGCTGAGGATAGGAAGTACCCAGAGAATGATCTCTTTCGGAAACTCAGGGATGCTGTAAAAGAAGCTGAGACCTGTGCTTCTGTGGCCCAGCTGCTGCTTAGCAAAAAGCAGAAACACAGGTAAACCTAAAGTAGAGTTTAATTCTCCCCAGATTTGCTGTTTCTTTCAGAGTAAAGGCCAAGTTTTAACTGACTTAACAGGCTTGATATAATACTTGACCTCTTGTGGCCATGGCTCTTCCTTCTCCAATAATGCCTAGGTTTTATTTCCTACCTTCCTTTCTCGCTCTTTCTCTTTTCCCTTTCTTCTTCCTGCTCTTTTTTCCTTCCTTCCCTCCTGTTCAGAAATGTGGGAAACTCTTCAAATTATAATTCTAGTTAGTTGTTGCAAACAACTGCATCAAGAGGACAGCAAATCAGTCTGTTGGTACCAGTGGTGGAAATCATACTGAAGCTTGTACAATGTCTGTGGGACTAAGACCTAGCTCTAGGCAGGAAGAAAATTTAAGATTCACCAAGTTTATATTATACTCACGTATATCTTAAGTAATTTACAGCATGCACAGTTTATGACCTGGGATCATCTCCATCTCTGAACATGTTTGATGACTTGAAATCAGGTTTTCTTTTTTTTTTTTTGTGATACTGGGGTTTGAACTCAGGGCCTCACGCTTGCTGGGTTTGCTGGGCAGGTGCTCTACCACTTGAGCAACTCTACCAGCCTTGTTTTGTGTTGGGGCTTTTTCAAGATAGGGTTTCCTAAACTATTTAGCTAGGCTGACTTTGAACTGCTATCCCCCATAATCTCTGCCTTCTAAGTAGGTAGGATTAGAGGCATGAGCCACTGGTGTTCAGCTTCAGTCAGGTTTTTGAAATGTTGTTTACAAGTCCTGAGGCTTATGCAAATATAAAAGTTTACTTTTTCGAATGGGTCAAGCAGCTTCTTGTAGACAGTTGGAAAATAGTGGTATCCTTCCCACACAGTGAATAGTAAAAAGAAACCCAACAGGGAAATCTGTTGCTGGTTGAAGAGAAAGAGTATAGTTACTTCAACAATGTAGACCATCTACCTTATTTGACAGTAGCTAATCAGTATTCTTTCTTCATTCATTGGGTTCTAAATTAAGCTTCCTTAGCTGCACAAATCAAAATATTTAATAACAAAGGACCTGAATAAAGTATTTTGAGTTCAAGTGACTTGCTTTATAATCTACCTTTTGTTAGAAATGATTCACTTTTTAAGGGGAGTCGTATTTTCAATTGCATATTTTCCATCTTCAAAGAACTCTCCCTTCTTTCTTCTACTGTAAGACTCGTTCACTTTCTGTTGTTTGTACATAACAAGTATATTTCTGCTTAGGGTGTTCACACTGGTTCTTCATGCTGCTTGTAGTTCTTTTCCCACCATATCCAGTTGCTTATCCCCTCTCTTTTTTCAAGTCTTTTTTTTTTTTTTTTTCCAAAATGTCAGTATTTTGGAAAGGCATTTTTTTGATAACTGCTTATAAAATCACAACCTTTTTACCCTATTTCCTGCTTTGTTTGTATTTTCTTATCTTTGATATACTGTTTATTGTTATCTTTTTTCTTCTTCCACACCCCTACTAAATGTACACTAGACTAGAATATTAGAGATTTTGGTCTTATTTTCATAACTATTTCTTGTGCTTAGAACAATGTCTGGCACATAGTAGGTGTACAATAAATATTTGCAGTTGAAGAAGTGAAATACTACAGGTTGACGGCAGGTGGCAGCAAAGAGTAATCTTGATGCATGCAGAGGAAGTTGTGGTCAAGGAGGAGAAAATAGTGCAACCTTCACTTAATGTAATTCAAGTATAGTAAATTTTCTGTGGTATTATTTCCTTAGTTATTCCAGCAGTCATATATTTCATACATTCTTTATATATGGCCTTTTCTTTTTTTGTTTTTTGAGATAGGCCTGGAGCTTGCCATTCTCCTGCCTCCACCTCTCAAGTGCTGGGATTATAGGTGTCTGCCACCACACCTGCTGTGAATGGCTTTTTTTTTTTAAGTAGTAGTATGCACTGTTTTTTTGTTTTGTTTTGTTTTTTGCACGATACTGGGGACTGAACTTGTGATTTTATACTTACTAGGCAGGTGCTCTACCACTTGAGCTATGTCCCAGACCTTTTTGCTTTTTAGTTATCTTTGCAATAGAGTCATATTTTTGCCCTGGCTAGCCTGGATTAGGGTCCTATTATTTAATCTTTCCACCATAGCCAGGATGACAGACATGCATCACATGCAGCTATTAGTTGAGATGGGGGTCTCACTGACTTTTTGCCTAGCCTGGCTTTGACCTGTGATCCCCCTGATCTCTTCCCCTTCCCCTCCAGTAACTGGGATTATAAGCATGAGCCACCATACCTGGCCTTGAGAACCTTTCTTAGATACATTGTCCAGGGAATCTTAACTTGTTATTGGGTCACTGATCCTCTTGGAAAATCTCGTAAAAGCTTCAGGACCCTTTTAGAAAAATTCATATACCTACAAGATTTTTTGAGGGGGAGGCAGCACTAAGGTTTGAACTCACAGCCTCATGTTTGCAAGGGCAGGCATTCTTACCACTTAAGCCATTCCACTGCCCTACACACAAGATTTTGAAACAGTTTTAGGGGATTCATTAAGCCCTTTGTTTCATATTGTGAGCTGCTTAAAATACAGGATTTTGTTTTTTCACCGTACTCAACATTCTCTACCATTGGGAGTTTATTTAATGTTTGAAACGTTTAACACTTGTAGATTGAAGGGACTGTGAATTTGAGAGTTGAATCTTTTGTTTTGTGGTGCTGGGGTTTGAAATCAGGGCCTACACCTTGAGCCACTCCACCAGCCCTTTTTTGCGATGGGTTTTTTTGAGGTAGAGTCTTGCCGAACTGTTTGCCCAGGCTGGCTTTGAAACGCAATCCTCCTAATCTCTAACTCCCTAGTAGCTAAGATTATAGGCATGAGCCCCTGGCACCTGGCTGAGAGCTGAATCTTTCAATCATTAACTGAAGAGCTTAAATTTTTATTTTGAAATGATCACCATTGCAGTGGAATTCCTTCACTAGGATTCTAGGATTGCTTACGTTTGAATTCTGGAGATACTAAGAGCCCCATTTGATATCAGAATGACTAAATTTTTCTTACTCTGTCTCAATATTATTCACATCAGGCAGAGTCCAGATAGTGGGAGGACCCGGACCAAACTGACAGTAGAAGAGTTGAAAGCCTTTGTCCAACAACTTTTTAGTCTTCCATGTGTCATCAGCCAAGCTCGACAAGTGAAGGTGGAGTATTATTTTCTTTTCTTGTGTAATAGTCTTTGTGGTATGGGCTACTGTTTTGGGCTAACAGAATGGTATATTTGAACTAGTTTTTTTTTTGCTCTGTTTCTTTTCTCACATATTTGTTGTTACTTAAGATTCTTTAGTAGGTAGTCTCTTGGTGTTTTTCTTAGCCTTTATTCATTTTTAAATTCTGGAATTAAAGCTAGTTTAGAATTATTTTTCTATATTAATTTTAAGTCAGAAACCCCATTTAACATAAATTTAGCTGAAATACAATAAATTTGTTAATCTTAGTGTAGTGGTGGCTATTAATACATGAACTTTTAAAAATGTAGAGTTGAGATTTCAGGACCCTGATGATTTAATGAATGTTTCAAAATCACCCCTTCTTTTATATCAAGTATGCTATTCTGCATAGTTAGTAATCCTTTGATAGTTTTTTTATGTTTTGGAAATGGCTAGAGTATCTAAAATAGTGTTTATCCTTGTTACTAACTTGCAAAATCTAGAATCAATTGTATTCTTGTCCTACCCCATTTCCTAAGAATACTTTGGTGGTTGATTACTCTTTCTTAAATGACTTCTTTATAGATGTCTGGCAACACACTTTCCTTCTCTCAGTTTCCTTTGCTGCTTTTTGCTCCTTGGTTTAACTAATAAATGTTGTAGTGTATTAGGAAGGCCAGCCCTTTCTCTACTCTGGCTGTGCCCTCTCCTAATACATTGTGCAGTGTCATGTATATCCTGTTGATTCCAAATCTCCACTCTGATTGCCTTTCTTCTTTTCTTATATATCCAGATGCATCTTAAAGATACTTAACAGTTCTTTTGGCAGAATAAAAAGCATGTTAGAAACCTTTTAATGAATCAAAGTCTTTGATTCCTTTATTTTCCTTATACCTTGTGTGATGTCTCTAAACAAGTGTTGCTATTACCTCCAAAATATATCCCATCATCATCTCCATTGCTTAAAATATGCTTTATGCCACAAGAATCTGTGCCTTGGATTACTGCAACAGCCTCTTAACTGCTGTCCCTTCTACTTTTGTCCCCCAGTTTATTTTTTTACTAGGTAGACAGAATGATCATTCCAAGTAGAAATCAAATCAAAGCACTCCCCTGTGGTTTAAATCCTCCAGTGGTTCCTCAAAGCCATTAAAAAGAACCCTTAAACTCATTATAATGTACAAGACATTATGTACTCATACCTCTGTTAATTCTTTTATGTTTGTCCTTCATCCACTTGAGCAACACATCAGCTCTTTTTTTTTTCTCTTTAAAATCTTTTGCAGTTATTATTTTCCTGGTCTGTGCTATTTTGCTATTAGATCTTCAATGTAGTTCTCACTCCCACCTCCTCTTTCAGTTTTGGTACATTGTCTTCTCTGACTACCACTGCTAAGAAATATGACCCCTTCCTCCTCTGGTCATTCTTTGCTATGTTGCCCTATTTTATTTTCAGAGCACCTAACACTAGATGAAACATTTTATTCATATATTCATTGTCTGGCCACCTATGTTAAAATTATAATTCTTTGAAGAGAAGGACTTCAAAGAACTGGTGCATAGAATGTGCCTATATCTAAGTTAGCAGGTCACTAAATATTAATTGAATAAGCCAGTTGTATTTTAAAAGTTAGACTATTGATAGAAGTTAATTATCAAGAAGCAGATTTATGAATTTATTATGTCTGGGTATTTAGTGCTATGATGGTGAGATTATAAGAGAATGTAGAGTTGATAGTTTGCCTAAATTATTTCTGTTCTGTATTCATTTTGTATCTTTTAAGTGTGCTTTTGATTTGTTTTGTTTTTGTGGTGCTGAGGATTGAACCCAGGGCCTTGCACATGCTAGGCAAGCACTGTACCATTGAGCTACTGCTTCAGCCAAAATTTGCTTTTTATTTTTATTTTTTTGGTCTTTTCAGAATCTGCTGGATGATGTGGAAGAGTTTCATGAACGTGCTCAGGAGGCCATGATGGATGAAACCCCAGATTCTTCCAAACTCCAGATGTTGATAGACATGGGCTCTAGTCTATATGTGGAGCTACCTGAATTACCTCGACTGAAGCAAGAACTACAGCAGGCTCGGTGGCTGGATGAAGTAAGACTGACCCTATCAGATCCACAACAAGTCACTTTGGATGTCATGAAGAAACTGATTGACTCTGGTGTAGGGTTGGCACCCCACCATGCTGTGGAGAAAGCAATGGCTGAACTACAGGAGCTCCTTACAGTCTCTGAACGATGGGAAGAAAAGGCAAGGTCTGCCTACAGCAAGGTGAACGCATATTTTGGTGACTGTTGCCTCTTTAGTGACTAAGTTAGAAAGTAAAACAGTAATGAGGAAACAAAAGGATCTGTTTCATTGTATTTTTAATTCAGTATTTTGTACCTTCTTCACTAATCACTGAGGTATCAAATAATGCTTCATGTAGAAAGTAATGCAAACTGTTGCTCAGCACACTTTGTTAGATAAGTGATAAAAAGTATTTTGTTTAGAGCTCAGAATTAATGATACAGTTAGGGATTAACTATATCATAAAGCTTATGCAGAAAATGTTATAGGAATTCAGAGAAGGAAAGATGTTGGTGAGCTTAGATGGTTAGTTGAGAAGCTTGAGAGAGAATTTAGGGAGATCCTTGAATAGTAGGATGAAGTAGAAAGGAGGTAACAGAAATGTCATAAACTGAGTGTAAGGAGTATGTAGTATGTTCAGGTGACAGAAAATAAATAAGCTTTACTGAATAGAGGATTTATTCAGGAGAGAACTGAGAGAGTTCAGGCTAAACAGTTTCATCAGCATTGGTAACTCATTGGACTTCATGAGATTTAAGTACATTGTTCATATTGACTGTTGGCTAATTTGGCTAGTAATTAGCTATGGTGTTCTTTGTGAAAGTGTTTCTCTAGCAGCTGAGATTAATATTATAATTTTCTGTTACGAGGACAAGGAAACTGGGGTGCTTAGACACTACATGGTTGTTAAGCAACAGTGCTGACATTTAAAACCTCTTTTACTTCCTCCAGAGTCTCTGCACTTAACTACTTTGTCAGCGACTTACTCTGGAAACATTTGATAGAAAGTACTTTAGGTGACTTAATGAACAGTTTTGCTTAGTTAAGTGGAAATTCCATGTATACTGGATATTTTGCTTTCTAGATGCTATGTAGAGTACTTACTAAGACGTGGAGTATTCACATTACTCTGTGTCTTCAGATTCATGACAGTTCCCAGATATGGGCATATTGAATGGACAAAGCTAAATAAATGACTTTGGATTGTAAAACTATGATTTTGTCTATCTGATGCAACTGAGAGTAGTCTACCAAATGAAGTTTTGTTGGTAGTAATATTTGAAATATTTGTTCTCCCCATCTTCTTTATCAGTCACCAAGTTGTAATGATTTACCTCCAAAGTGTCTTTCATCTTTCTGTTCCAACTCCATTGTCACTGACCTAATTCTATGTGTTCCCTTGGTCTTTGCAGTGCAGTAAGTATGGAGTACTACCTGCTACATGCCAGGCAGTATTCTAAGTTCTGTGGATACATTAGTAAACAGATTGCAAGAAGGTTCTGCTTTCGTAGAGCTAACATTCTAGTGAGGAGAGAGATGAATAAATGTGAATTTCAGATAATTAATGTCCTGAAGAAAATAAAATTGTCAATATTGGTGGCAATAGTGAGAGGCAAAATTTGCTCTTTCCAACTCCTGTCAGAATTGTCTTTCTGAAGCCCATCTTCATTTTGATCTGTTAGCATTAGTTAAGTCCTTCATGATATCCTCTGCCTTTGGCCTTCTCTCTTCCTCTTAAATAATGACAGTTTGGGCCCTTTCTCTTCTCACTCAGTAGTCTCCCTGGAAATTTCATCTAATGTCCTGGTTCTGTGTACCATCTTTACATTGAATAACTCCAAATTTTTGTCTAATATAAATTTTTTCGTAGATACCCTATGCCTGTTGGATAATTCAGTGAATGTCTCCAAAGGTATCTAGGATTTCTATATCCAATTGGACTCGTTAACACCTTTCTACATTCCTTCCTGTTTCTTTTTCTATAAATTACATCAACCTTCACACATTGGAACAAGCAAGTACTTTGGCAGTTAACTTTCTCCCTTCTTTTCTTCACCTTCATGTTGATTATTTTTCCTTTATGGTTCCAACTTTATTTTTTCTATTTGTTTACAAGTAGATTTATTTACCTTCATCCTTTAGGTATAGGGTGACAGTTACTTTGTTTCAGTACTATGAGTATGTCATTCTGGCTGCTGTTCTGAACACAATCTTTTAGTTTGTGCTACTTGTGGGTTTTTGTTTGTTTGTTTGTTTTTTCTTTTTCCCCTTTCATTCTCCTCACAGCTGGTCTGTGTTACAGCAGCAGGTTTTCTGCTCACCTCATCCTCTCTGATTTACTTTCTATCTTGCCACTGTATTGTCCTAAAATACAGGTGTCACTGTTTTCTTCCCCTTGCTTAGAACCTGTACTGTTTCTCATTGCCCTTAGGTAGAGTCCAGATTCCTTGATTCATAAGGCTTTTTGTCACCTAGCCCCTTTCTTAATTATGTATCTTGCCTCATCTTTTGTCATTCTTCCTCTTATATTTTGTGTACGAAATACAGTGATTGTTCCCAATTTCTCAGACATACCACGTTGTTTCTTCATGGGCTTTGTATATTTATTTTGTTCTTTTGTGGAACACTTCTACCACCTGTACCTTGCCCCTGGTCCCTTCCTCCCCCCACTTTTTTTGATGCAGTACTAGGGTTTCGAACTCAGGGACTACACCTTGAGTCACTCCATCAGTCCTTTTTTGTGATGGGTTTTTTTGAGATAGGGTGTTGTGAACTATTTGCCTGGTCTGGTTTCAAACTGTAATCTTTCTGATCTTTGCCTCCTGAGTAGCTGGGATTACAGGTATGAGCCACCAGCTCCTGGTAGATTCCACCCTTTTGGACTAACTCCTATTCAGAAAGCAGGAGAAATATTAGACATGATTTCTAGGAAGACTTCACCTGTTAAGTCAGTTAGGGCCTCCTACTGTGTATTCTAATGGAACTTTTACTTTTCTTTGTCATTACACTTGTCACAGTGCATCATAACTGTTTATTAATAGTCCTCCCCACAAAAAGTTTCATGAGGCAAAGACAGTCATTCTGCTTATTAAGAATCTCCAGGACCTAACCTAGTTCCTAGCGCAGAGTGGGATTCATGAGTGATGAAACCATCTCAGACTTTGTAACTCCCATTCCTTTATGCAGTGAAATTTGTGGCTCTCAAAGCTGCTAATGTGTTTTCATCTTCTTTTCCTGCCAAATTCCCCATTTTCTGCCCCACTCTTTTTTTTTTTTCATTTTTCTTTTATTATTCATATGTGCATGCAAGGCTTGGTTCATTTCTCCCCCTGCCCCACCCCCTCCTTACCACCCACTCCACCCCCTCCTCTCCCCCCCTCAATACCAGCAGAAACTATTTGCCCTTATCTCTAATTTTGTTGTAGAGAGAGTATAAGCAAATAGGAAGGAACAAGGGTTTTTTGCTGGTTGAGAAAGGATAGCTATACGGGCATTGACTCACATTGATTTCCTGTGCGTGGGTGTTACCTTCTAGTTAATTCTTTTTGATCTAACCTTTTCTCTAGACCTGTTCCCCTTGTTCCCCTTTTCCTATTGGCCTCAGTTGCTTTAAGGTATCTGCTTTAGTTTCTCTGCGTTAAGGGCAACAAATGCTAGCTAGTTTTTTAGGTGTCTTACCTATCCTCACCCCTTCCTTGTTGCTCTCGCTTTTATCATGTGCTCATAGTCCAATCCCCTTGTTGTGTTTGCCCTTGATCTAATGTCCACCTATGAGGGAGAACATACATTTTGGTCTTTGTCTGCCCCACTCTTACTCCACCTGTCCCCCCGACCCCCATATCCACCATCCATCTCCCATCTCAAAGTGAAATACCATTCTTTTTAAATGTTTGTTCTATACCTTTGTTCACCTGGTTTCTTTTATTTAACCTTTCATTTGATAAAATCATACTTTTTAAGGCCTAGGTCAAATCTCTTCTCAGCTCTTCTACACAGTTCTCACAGTTGTAGCTAGTAATTTGTTCTTTCCATTACAAATAAGACTTCTATTTCTGATTAGTGAAATAAATCTGTTTATTCATGTTGTAATATGTATTATGAATATAATTAATTAAATGTATATGTCAAACATTAATGATTTTCTCATCTGTTGCTTTTGCATTGCTATCAAACGCAACATCTCTACCATTTCAGGTATTTAGAGAGCTAGAGAAGCAGCCCAATGCTGAGGTGAAAGGAAGCCTGGACCAAGAACTCTTCTTGAATCCAGTCCTTCACGGTGTGCTCATTCTATTCACATTTAAATGACTTCGGCCAAAATTAATTATTCTTCTTTGTTTAAAGTTTTCTTCCTTATAAACTGGAAATAAAGATGTCGTTCTTTCCTTCCTTATAGGATTTGCGAAGAATTGAGCTGAAAATCATATAATGATATTCTCTATACATTATAAAATCTTTTTAAATTGTGTATCACTTGGTTTTTCCTCATATATTCCACTCTGTTCTTATGTTCATTTAGACCCCGGCACAGTGTAGCAAGTTTAGAAAGTATGTGAAATGAAGCAAAGAACATTCCAGCCTTTTTACCCAATGTTTTGTCCCTGAAAAAGCCTTACAAAAGGCTCCGAGATGGACAGCTAAAGTGGAAGCTATTCAGGTAAGGAGATTTTTGCATTAACCTTCTACCATCGTGCTTGTCTCACAGATGAATCATTTCAACCTTTAATTCTTTAGAATGGAACAATCATAATAAAAAGAATCGTACTTATTCTTCCATCTGCTTCTGTAATTCAAGATAAATACCACTTACTGAAACATGCTAGTTTTTTCTTAAGAAAGTGATGGAAATTAACTACCCAATTCCTTACCAGTAGGGGGCTTATTATGGATATATTGTTGAGTCTTTTTCCATCACATAAACACTTTTAAAAATAAGAGGCAGAAAAAAATAAGATGAAATTAACATTTACTGAGCACGCATACTCTTGTTAACTTTTTTAGATGCCTGGGAGTGGGAATATAAGGAAAAAGAATATAAAAAAAATAGAACTCTGACTTTCAAAATACCATATTTTCTACTTGGAGAGACAAATGCATTGAATTCCAATCAGAGTGAAATCAAATTGCTAACGTATGCTTCAACTATAAAAAGCCTTTAACAGCCATCCATAGTATTGTGTATATAAAACTTTTGATTATAG